TTTGTCTGCCAACTTCACACCGGTATGCATATGCCACATATTGTTTCTTATTACTAACGGAACATCATCAAGCAGCAAAGGCAACTGTTCTTGAAGAAAATTGAGGTAAGTCTGTCCGTCAAGTCGTCCCGGCAGGAAGAATGGGGCAATAAAGTGGTTGCCAATAATTCCTGCCCATACGTTAACCGAAAATTGGTGTTGGAAATGGGTTTCGGTTACGGCATAGGGATTTTCTTCTGCCCACAAATGATTATTGTGGAAATTCTGAATGACATTTCGAGAAAAATTAGCTTCGTCCGTGAACAGAATCATTGATTCAAATTGCGGATTTTGTGCAATTTTTTGAAGATACCACTGACAAAAGGTCACACGCCTTGGAAAATAAATGGGAAGTAATGCCTGTACTCTTAAAATATGGTAAGGATATAACAAAAAATCCACTATAATTCTCCAAACAATTTGACGGCAAATATTTAAGTGTCTAGCGATCTTCCTCGTACTCGTTTCAAGATGTTCTTCGACTTCGTGCAGCACTGCTTCCTCAATTTCAGGTGTTCTCACACTTAGAGGTCTACCTTCAGATGTTCCTTTTCGGATAGAACCAGTTTCAACAAGACGACGATGAATATTAGAAAAGGTTCGACTATCTGGCAAAGCACGATCGGGATATCTCTCGTGATAAATCCGTCTGGCTTGCTCACCATTACCGACGGTAAGGCCATATACGTAATGCATTTCCGCCATTTCTGCATTTGAATAATTCACCATTATTAACAAGATTGTAAAAACTAAATAATGAAAAAGATGTCACAGCGAACAGATTTGAATAACAGAAACTTGTCAGATGTCAAAAGCCAGTGACATATTACAGAGCAACTAGATATTTATTGCTAAATTACATTCTTCAATTATTACATTAATTTTCTCGGACAATAGAACGGTTTTTATTTTTTTTACTCAAAAATGGCGCATCGAAGGAAAACAATTCAAGAGACACCATTTGTTTTAAATTGAACGGGAAGTTCAAAAATAATTTTTGTTTGGCAAAAAACCATTGGCGTGCCATTTTGCATTGAAAAATATGCAACTTTATTAACTTTCACTACGTAGTGTATCAGTGAAATATCTGAAGCGGTTCTAAAAATATTAATTAATTTCCATTTTTTTCCTAAAACTTCAACACCCCGAGTTTTTGTAAGGAAACATTTTTTGACCATAGTTTATAAAGCAAACTAACATTAATCTTTCATGTAGATTCACACCCTTAAATATTCGCATATCATTAAGGAACACCCTGTATATTATTGGGAATCATAACCCCGTAATGTTCGTCATGTTCGAGGCGTCGGACAAGCTCATTGCATCATTTTTTTCCAATTTCTTGTCATATGAGCTTACAAATTCTTCAAAGTTAAGTATATATTTATCTCATAACCGTAAGTCATGAGTTTGATGAACAAAAATTGATAAAAAGCTTGTCGGACCCACCAAAAGGAAGTTGTATGCAAAGTTTCAAGTATACCGTATTCCACGAGTATCCAAAAATTTTTGTAGCGTTTTATTTTTTGTATGCAAATTACCTTTTCTAAATAAAAGAGCTCTTAAAAAGTACAAAATGAATCTGTAGCGTACAAAAAAAACAGAACAAAATATGGCTCTGTCTACCTGGCATTGACGGCTCCGTTAGAATTATGTGTTCTTTGCCGATATGAGGAATTTTGTAACATTACTAGATAACCAGCTGTCATTCTACCGTGATGGATACTCATGAAATAGGATATATATATTAATCATTCAATAAAGTGGGTTATGTACTGTGAACTATTCCAAAGCATTGTTACAGGGTAAACCCTATTTCACGAATATCCATCCCGCTTTAACGTCTACTGAAGTAAACAGCTGATCAGCAAGTGAAATTTTTGTATCAGTCTGCAACGTTGGCAATAATCGATAGGGTATAAATCTAGTAAAACTTGTTTGTGGATTTTTGATTTTTGTATGCAAATGAACTTCTCTAAATAAAAGAGCTGTTAACAAGTGCAAAATGAATCTGTAGCGTACAAAAACCAAAACAAAATTCGGCTCTGTCTACCTGGCGTTGTCGGATCCGTCAGAATTATGTGTCCTGTGCCTTTATTGGGATTTTGAGATATTACTAGATAATCAGCTGTCATTCTGTCGTGATGGATACTCGTGAAATAGGGTATCTTCTATACGCTAGAGACAAGAGCGCCTGGGTCACAGCGCGTTATTAACAATTAAACAATAATTAAAAATAATCTATTTGAGGAGATTTGAACTTCAATTTACGTGTTTGCCAACCACAAAAATAATGAGTATTAACCTAGTTTTTGAGCATTTAAGAGAAAGTTACGAGGACCTTTTTTATCCAAAATTATCCAAAACACCAAAAAAGAAATAGTCCTAGAACAAAACAATTTTTTGGAATTCGTTTATTACAAGTTTGTTTAAACAAAGACCCCTCAGAAACATTATGGACAACGACGTTCCACTATTTTTTAATTTAGAATTTAATAGATTTCAACATGTAGAATAAAAGTGTTATGCAATCAAAGTTTTACAAGTTCCGATACAGTGCATCCAAGTTGGGAAGTCCGCACTCTATTACAGCATATTGTGGGTAAGGTTCGCTATATCTAAAGACGTGTGATATTTACATTATTTAATGTATTCACGTCTTCATCATCATCCTTGCTGGCCAGTTCAACATTGCAATTCTGTCACATGTACAGAGTGGCCCAAACTTACATAGAATTTGATTGATAGCCAACAAAGTTGAAGCTTGTTTGACAGATAAGAATTCCGGACGTAAACTTACTCCACTCTCTAATTGTCCGGGTGGAGGGTGGACTCGAGAGAACAACATCGATGATAAAATTTGTTCCACAAACATCTGCGGGATTAACAGCAACATTGATGCCGTAAATCACTACCTCCAATCCAATCGTCCCGCCATGCTTTTCTTGGCGGAAACACAAATCTCAGAGTCTGCACCGGTTAATCATCTTAGCTTCCCAATACGAGGTGCACGCCAATCTGAGAAAGAACGGGAAAGTTGTGGCTTTTGTCCGCAGCAACCTTTTCTGTTCCTGAGACGTTTCTATGGAATCAGACCACAAAAGTATGTGCTGCCTTTATCGCTCTCCCTTGGACCATAACTGGGATGACCTTCTTAAATATACCTCGCCGTCAAGATCGACTTCCTGAACGCCAATCACCCCGCTTCAGAGGTAGTTCTCCTCGGTGATTTCAATGCCCATAATGAGCTTTGGTTGGGCTCAAACAAGACCGATGCAGCAGGTTGTGCAGTTAAAGCGTTCGCCATTACCCAAGGACTGACTCAGCTGGTGACGCGCCTTACTTTTTCTCCACGTTTCGTCACACTTCAGTAGCCTGCTGGATCTCTTTCTGACCACGCATCCTGCCCGATAAAGCACTGCTGTCCTGTCCCCCCTGGGTAACTCAGACCACGGTGTTGTGGAGATTAGGTTTCGGTCAGAAACAGCTGTGTCAGCAGAGACTCGCCCAGGCCGCAAAATTTGGCATTACGGACACGCCGACTGGGAGGGACTTAGAGACTTCTTCTCCACCTTTCCTTGAAGAGATGTTTGTTTAGCCGACGCTTCCGCGTCGGCTGTCTGTTCATCGATAACCTAATTATCCACGTTGGGATTGAGGAATATATCCCTCATACAGTAAAAGTGCGTAAACTATGGTCCAACGGCTGGTTCAACAAATATTGCGGCATTGCTCGTCAGCAGAAGATCAAGGCGCACAAAACCTTTTTACACAACCCCACTGTAGAGAACAGACAAGCCGACGTCAAGTCTAGAAATAAACAATATAACGAAGCGGTCCGCAATGCCAAACACCAGCACGATATGAAAGTTAGGCACATGGTAATAATTGGCCGTCGGTCTTTCTGGACGCTGACCAAGCAGATTGAAAAGAACTTCTCACAGAGTAGAATTCCACCATTTACGTGTCAGGATGGAACCGACTCAAAGGCTAAGGCGGAAGTGCTTGTCAAGATCTTGGCTGCAAACTCCACCATGAACGTCCCCCAACGCCCGAATGCCGTGGAATCAAAGGGTCCCTTGCATTGTGCGGGAAATAACATTCAGGCATAAGACGTAAGACGGGTGCTGTTGTCGCTCGACATCAACAAAGATTCTGGTCCGGACTTGATTGCTGTCGTAGTATTAAAGAGGTGTGCAGTAGAACTTGCAACAGTTATTTTGCGTCTCTTCCAGATATCTTACGAATCCGGCATTTTCCCAGAAAACTGAAAATTTGCTCACGTCCAACCCATCCCAAGAAAGGGATCTAGGACTGATCATTATAACTAGAGGCCTATAGCTCTGCTTTCTGCTACAAGTAAGGTGATGGAGAGATAAGTAATCTAAGTGAGGTGATGGAGCGGTGCATAAATCTCGAGCTTCTGGACTACCTCGAACGTCACGGCTTGATTAGCGACAGGCCGTATGGGAGTAAGCTCAACCAGTCTTATGGTAAGACTCATGTCGTTGCTCCTGACATCATGACAGCGTTTTCCATCCATTACCCATAAAGTTTCTGCGGAATATTTTGCACCGGGTTATTGCCTGGCAGACGTTATGAAACAAAAATCAAATTGGAAATTTTTCAATTAATCTATTTTTTTAATAGTAGCAGTATTAAACCGCTGCTTCAAAAGAACAGGAGTGATCAAACGTTCGTTTGTTGCCATATCAAGTCTTTGAAAAATCCACGAAAATAGTTTAATAAAACTACTTGTTGCGTTCTATAGTCGAGTACCGAAAAGGAAAGGAGAGAAGGAACATATCGCACGTCACTGGCTAGCGCAGCATATCCTTGAATTCGACGGGATACTCACGCTCTGGCTTTACCAATGCAACGGGACGCCGCGTGCGATGTGATTTGTTGCTCTAATCATTTTCGGTACAACGATGTAATCATGCATATTTGTGTAAAAATACCTAGAGTCGCACAACTTGTATGTGCTTCCAGTATGTTTATGTTGCTCAACAATATCATCCTCGTCTGCTGAATGCAACTGGGTAATACTGTCTCTACTTATATTACAGGAACTATCAGCTAGCCATCTATCAACAAAAATATAGCGTAAGTTAACAACTAAAATTATTTTGCCTTTAGTGCCTGCTAGCCCTCCAGTGAAAATAATCCGGGTGGGCAGGCACCCCATACAGTCCTATGTTATTCCTTCGTCCGTAAACAAATCAAGAGGGTTTAATGTTGCCAGCTCGTAGACTATAAGAAAAATAAATCTAAGAATTCAAACCTTGCATAAAAAAGATAGACCTAGGACAAACGGTTTGACGTAGAACCTTATACAGGGTATTTCAAGGTAAGGTAAAATATTTAAGTGAATATTCATGAGTCTGTTTTTAGACCTAAATTTTGAGATTATGGAGTTTTCAAAAAATATCTTTTTTATATTTATGATACCATTCTATATATTTTAATAAAAATGGGTACAATAAGATGCGTTTTCCGATGTACAACAAATTTTTGCAAATCTTCAAGGCGTTCGTGGAGAATTAAAAGCAGTTTTCGTGTAGCCAAAATTATTTATTATATCCCCATTAACCTCATTTTTTTACAGAGACATAGTTCTCACATAAAAAATAATAAGCCCTATGTTTTCATTAGGTTGTTTGTTATCTTGTATTAATTTCTACATGATAGCCACATGATCGTGCAGATAAATGTTTAGTATTTTTGTCACACAAAAACAGGAATACAATGGAAAGAAAATCAAGGGATTAAAGAGCGACCACAATTTTCGCCTGTTTGGCAGATCTCAATTTAATTTAATTATGTGTGTGTTCAAATTTCGTTCTTGAATTTAAGGGTGACTCAAGTTTGAATTCTTGCATTGACAAACAGAGCAGACGAGTAGCATATTTTTTTTTAAACGGTTCAATTCACACCGAAAACTTTTCCTACTTTTTTTTTGTTAAAATGAACTTAAGTATCATTCGCTTAAGTATTTTACCTTTCGTTTGAAAAATTTAGAATACCTGGATTCTGATTTCAAGAGGTTAAAAGAGCCATACAGAAGACCTTACAAAATGAAAATGGCAAAACGGAAAATTATAAACAAAAAAAAAGGTACAACACAACAAAACTAAAGAACACTACAAAACCAAACGAAAAATGAAGTGTAATAAAAAAGATGAAAACCAAGGATGAACAAAGAAGCGATTTGTGCGAAGTTTTTTTTTTACCTATCAGTTTCACTGTCTAGATTCATGACAGTATTTGTTGTGTTATCAATACATGCATGTTCCCTTCCCGAGGCAACAATAGGATTCAAATTAATATCACTTCTTGGTCTACACTTTGGAAACAGTTTGCTAATTTGTTCAGTGTTATCACCAACATCAATATTATCTAACGCCAAAGTCAAACTGGTCATTTCTATTTAGAGTTTAGAAAGTAAACTTCCATAATACGTCTGGAAACCTAGAAGAAACATTTGTAATAGATAAAGCTAATGCCTAAAATTGGAAATTGTGTATTTAATAGTAGGATATTACAATAAAGGCAATGCCAAGGCGAATATAAAATATGCGAAATGTTACGTGCTATATCCAAGCTTCGAGCTTTGTTATGCTGTTTACTTGCTCATTCGACAAATACGCTGCAAAAACATTCATGCCAAAACAAAAATATACCTCCAACGCTTCGGAGTGCCACAGGGATCTATCCTCGGGCCCTACCTGTAGAACGTATACGTTGCTGATCTGCCGGTAGAAAACATTGCAGGACAAACGATGTCAGAATACGCCAAAATGAGAGCAAAGTGGACAATGGAAGCGATATTTGAGTACTATGATCGGTGAGGGCTTACTTGTAATAAGCAGAAAATCGAGTTTACTGAATTTGGACGAGCACGTACGTGCCCTGAACAGATCAAGTTTGGCGGGAATGGGAAGCGAACAGTCGTAATCCCCGTGCTCGAACAAATCCGATACCTTGGGCTCAATCTCAATAAAACGAATGACCTCAATAAAGAAAAAATTATTAAGGCTAATCGAGCAGCTATGTCTAAAATCATGGGACTCGGCTCGAATGTTCCTATAGAAGTGAAATCGAAATCTACCCGGTACTGACAAACATACTTATTGCTGTGTTCCCACGCATAAGTAAAAGTGGCTCTTAAATTAGAGATATGCCTTAATATGATAGATAAAATAGCTGGGCAATTCCCCTACTTCATCTCAGATGACATACAAAAGGACACTGTGGCAATACTGACTGAGACAGACAAATTGGTGAAGCCGATTTTGACCACAGTAGATCATCTGATCAGCCAGCCAAGCCAGTGTTATCAAATCCTAAATTCCTCCTAAATCGAATCGTCCTGTGCACTATATCTCATAATAAAAATAATAATCCTTTGTACTACGTCCCCGCGTATTTCACCCCTTTCCTAAGAAGTACATATTTTTAATGTATACAGAAGCAATATATTTTTGTTTTTCATTGTTTATATATAAGCCAAAGGAATCATATGTAACATAATCTATATAAAATAGAGGTTTCAAATTGGAATCAAATTGATGTTTAAGGCGCTTTCGTTAGTGTAGCAATGAAGCAACTGGTCTCACTTAATTTGGGTACTGGGATATATGGTAATGGGGCAGGCTTGTTGGCCCAAAACCAGGATTGGTTGTACGCTCCCAAAAAGTTAGGAAAACTGAAAAATGTTGTAACACCCCCATTAGGCGCGATGGCTCCTTTCAGAGTCAAAGACGTTCTTTCCTAGGTAGAATCAGCCTAAGATTGTCGGTGGGACTGCTATCTGACCACAACATGCTATTCTGTCTAGTCTCAAAATTAAACTGTCAAACATATACAAACCGAAAATTAAAAACAGTTCTATTGAAGAGTCAGTTAGTTGCTATTTACTATACCCAAATAGAGTCAAAATTAAGATACACTTTGTGTTTCTGGAGTTATGATAGCTAACGCTGAGCAAGTATTTTTGAGCCAAAAAAGAGCAATTAGATGTTTGGTTAGAATTAACAGTTTAATTTGTGTAAAGATATTTTTAGAAGACTTAACCCCTTCCCTCATTGTTTTTGTATGTTGTTAATAATAAAGATAAGTTTTTAATTAATAGATTTTTAATACCAGGCAGGTTAATAATTCGAATGTAGCTTTTGCTAAATACAATGTTGGTATGAAATAGCCCGACATACTGCGACCTAAAGTAAGTATTCAATAGGCTACCGAAGGATATCAAGGGATGCTCCAATATCAACCAGTTTAAACAATTCCTTTTATCTAAATGTTATTATGCCGTCTCAGAGCTTGTTTGTTAATAATTGTTATTTTGTTTGTTGTTTGTCTTAAACATTTTTATTTAATGTTATATATGCAAGTTGAAGAATCCTTAATGTATATCTCAATGTCTAAAGGATAATAAATAATTTGGATATCATACCAATTCGGCATGTATGTTTTACTATAAAATCCTTCTGTAGGTAGAGATACTGTACCAACAAATCAAGAAATGCAGTAATTGAAGACAAAAAATGAGTTTGAAGTGTGAAAAAGTGTTCAGAAAGCAGGGAAATTTGAATTGTGATATTAATTTACTTCAAAAAGTGATAGTAAAAGATTGGATTCCGAGATTTTTAACATCTGAAAAAATTACCTCTGAAAAAAAAATCGATTTTTATTTATTCCAAATAATATATTTTGAAATAATGGTTCAAATAAATATGTAACAAGTATCGAGTGAAGGACAGTTTACAAAAAAATGGATAGAAAGTGTAAAGTGTAAGCCTTTCTATACAACATGCACAAGCACAATTATAATTTTTTTACATCTATTATACTTTGCTTAAAATATCAGTATACAAGCAGGTAAAACTAGTATCTACAAAAGGGAGAAAGCATGTAACTTGAGAAGGTAAATATGTGATAAATACATATAGCATAACAATGCATAAAGTTATAGTCATGTGTGGGTAAAAAATATGAAACTATTTATTATCTAACTATTACTGGTATATATAAATTATATAGTTACAATATCGAGATTTTTTTATTATAAGATACTGTGTACATGCAATTTATGAATAGAATTTTTATAGGTGTGATGAAATGTTCTTAATCAAGGTTACATGCAAAAAATGAATCATAACATTGTCAATTAGAATATGGTTAATAGAAGCATTTCAATATTCCTTTGTGGCTTAATAAATCTGTGTTATATATTAAACTAAGTGCTAACTATTTAACAAGTAATATACATAGCATTTTCTAGTGAAACATCATTCCAGGGAACTTTTGTTGACGTTGCTACTATGAATTTACCAAATTAGTAATAGGAAAAAATATTTCTTCATGTTACACACATTTTTTAAAATAGTCATAGTGTAATATTATTTTGAATGAAAATACAGAGTGCTATGGAAATAACAAGCAGGTGTTCTAAACCAGTATGTCAAGAATACTACTCAATATCCTTGTCTGAATAAAAAAGCATATTATTCATAAATGAAATATTGCCTTGAAAAAACAGTGATTCTGAAATTAATAGTCTTTATTTTTCAAATGCACCACCTTGTATAGCTTAAGTACTACCTACGTAACATGGTTAAGGAATAGTGATAATGCTAGACAAATCAAACTGGAGAAATCTAAAGCCTATTTCTAATATGTGAATTTGTAGTAATTGTATCTATCATAATCCATACCTCTTATAGTAGTAATAGTCCAGACCTGGAAATATGTATAGTCAAGCTTCACTTTCAGTATGCAACAAAACAATTTTATTCTTGGGCTAATATATAAATTATACAAATCAATACTCAAGAAATACTAGTTTGTCATAGAGCTGTTTTCAAATTGTGCAAAAAGCTTTGAAATTCACAATACATTAGAGCACCCCTTGAAAAATTTCTAATCCAAGATTTTTATCACATCGACAATCGGCAAGAATGACTGATTCACCAGTTTACAAATTTCTTGTGGCCACTGGGCACACGTCCTACCCAAAATCAATATATGAAGAAACGGCGCACGACGGAATTCCCTATTTTTTTTTCAAAACGCCCAATACTCGGCGATTTTAGAACAACTGGATGAGACTCGTGAAAAAATTTAGTGGCTTTAGTCGCTCTACTTTGTCTCCCGTTAATAATTAAGCGATTTAAATAAATATTGACGCCATGCGCCGACTGAGGTGCCGTTTTTTGGCGACGCCGCAATATGTTCCGTTTGGTCAATGACAAATTTATTGAACGCATGTCTTTTTGAAAACTGTCAAAAGCGGCATGCAAAAAATTGGACACAATGCAAGAAAGGCTCTTGCAGTTTGATGTGAAACAAATTAATACTCACATAAGTATAGGTCTTCCTTGAAAAATACCTTATGGTGCGTGAAAGTGCTTGCGCTCAGGAACCAGCAAACAGGATATATGATTACTACGAACTAGTTAATTCACCTTATTCGATAAACACCTCTCATTTGCAGGTCATTTTTCAGGAAATGAAATATGAGTATGAGTAATTTTTAATTATTGTTTATGAAATGGTTTCAGTAAGTGGTTGTTTGACACTTCCTTCACCACAAAATTTGACAGTATGCAGATTATTTGTCAATTCTTTGGGGTGACCAGTAAGCGAAGTAGTGAACCAACGCCCCATTTCCGATTGGCTGTCTCTGTATATAAATCCCCTTTTAACCGCACCTTATTTCCACTGCTGAAAACCAACCAATAAATAAGTAACATATCACGTGACTATAGTTATAACAGAAAAAATAGCAGCTAAAATGGGAAGAAAATGGGGTGTTGCCCAACTATCGTGACCTTTCCTCCTTTCCGTCATTGGTCAGCCGCAGCTAAATAGCAAAATGTTTGCACTCTGTGCTTTAAAGGTCTTTAAATTTCCTGATTCACACAGAAAATGAATTTTTGTTCAGATCACAATTACGCAGTGGTTTCGGAAATTACCTGGTAGAAAACCTCAAAATATTGATAGGACTTTGTGGGACAAAATTTCAAGCACGGATCCAGGGGGTTATGGAAGTCATGACCCCCCTGGGTTTGACTAGTAATACATTTATGACTTTCAAATATCGTTGATAAAGTTAAGTAAATACAGACTTTTTTCAAATACGTAATGGATATAAACGGGTGATTTTTCACCAAATCTGGTGATAAATCACATCACCTGGCAACATTGATCAGTTTTTAAGCGCATCGCGCATCCATGATGGCGTGGAAATAAGAGGCAGCCTATACGTTCAGCTTGACGCAAATATAAATAAAATAGCGATTCTGCATGTCCTTTAGATAATTATTGGAAGTTGAGCCTCAATTGTTCTATGATTAAGGTAGTTAATTGAAAATTCAGACATTCAGACAGGAATATAATAAAAAAGCTTTCTCGCACGCACCTTTAATGCTTCCAGTAAATTTGATGAACATATTTTTTGACGGACAACATCAGAGAAAAGCGGTTTCATTTGACTAACAGGAGATGGTATGTAGTAAGCATCATAGTTATCTAACCGCAAGAGTGTTCAAATCTCGCTCTCTTGATCTATCAATTCATAAACATATACCGTGAGATTCAAATTTGGTGTATGAGAGAGAAGCGTGATAACCGTGGGATATGTATATTAGAGAGAGTGCGCCGGTGGGTTCCGTGACCTCGTACTCGGGTTGCTAGGCAACGAGGAGCTTCTATCTCTTTCTAACACACATATTGCACGCTTCTCGCGCTTCTCTCTTGTACAAATTACATACCAGTAGTATTTGGTTTTCAGTGTGTACTACTTTATATTTTTGACACTTCACATTTGTAACTTGCATGATGGTATTGTCCTAGTTTACTCTTGTACAGGGTGTTTCCCAAACATGGGACAAGAATCCAATGGGTGACTCTTGAGACTATTTTGAAACTACTGTATTTGATCCTCTCGATTTGCGAAACACCTTTCTGATTCCGGAGAAACTTGCCCCTTAAGGAGCCGTCGTTGAGAATAGGTTTTTCTTAAATAATTTCTAACATCGCGTAACTCAAAAGATGGTGCCCACAAAATATGCGTGTTATTTCGGTAGATGATCCAAAGATCCGCCGTTTGTTGCTCTTTTAAAATTCAGTTTTGAGTTATGCTGTGGTAGAACTTCGTCGACGATATAATCCAATGAAAACTATCAACTAATTTAGTTCGTCAGATACGGACTAGTCATATTGCTATTTTTTTACACCTTTGTATAATAATGACTTCAAAATAATATTTTTGGAAATCGGAAACCGCCTCGATAGTGTTGGCCGTTCCATATACATGAATGTATGTAAACCTGCGGTTGTTTCAAGAAATTTATTCATGTTTGATTTCGATAATATCAAGTGGTTGCGAGCCTCTGTGGCAGAAGATAGCCTAACTGGCACTTTTGCAGGCAAACAAAAAAGAATTAACTTTGTTATTTGACAATAAAACCATGAATCCTGTGACCTTCCCCTGGCATGAGAGCCGGATGCGCCCCTGCAAAATTTTCATTTTTGAATCAAATTTGGTACCTCCTATACAAAAAAGGCGTTACCTTACGTAGTGCCCGCCTACCCCCGCTCCTTTGACCACGCCTTGTTTCCACTGATATAATGCTTTCCAGGAAACAGTATTTTTGAATGTCACATGTCAATGTGATTAACCTCAAAAGTCAAAATCAAAATGGTGGTTGTATTGGATGTTTATTTATTATTAAAAGCGTAAAAAAGGAAAACAAATACAATTTGGGTCACATGAAACTACCAAACTTTTTGAATCTACTAAACAGGAGTAAACGCCCTTGATACGATGATTCAGGCCTGTTTGAATAAAATACAAACATTCGATGCACACATTGTGAGATAAATTCTGATTGGCACTTATCTCTAAAGATGATGGATATTTTTATCTATTTGAATCATCTCTCTGGGCACCAATGATGGTTTGCCAAAGCCTAGTGAATACATACAAAAAAGAATAAGATGGGTAGGTTTTCTTGCCAGACATGTCCTACACTTTTGTTTACACCTGTTGCAAGTTAAGGGGATCATTTTTCAGAGGATGAGGCTAATTCTGAGGAAAAACTAAGCAAAATGGGTGCTACAAGCAACAATAATGCAGCTAGGATAGCTGTGCTACAAGAAAGGAAAAAACAAATTGAAGAAACCTTAGCTAAACGTACCCAAGAGCTCAAGCAGCTATGCATCCAGGTATCAGGATTTAAGCTATTGAATCATTGCATTGCAATTTTAAGCAATCTACTCGAGAGTAGAAGGTGTAACAATTTCCAAAAGTATGGATATTATTTACAAATTATAAAAGCATGGAAAGGATGTCACAAAAACTGCTTTGAAATAACAGCACAAAGATAGATAGGCCTTATACTCTGGATAGAGGCCAAGCCTAGACTATGCTGAAGAGTTGCATAAAACAGCTGTTAGCATGGTTAGCTGACTGTGGTCAGATAAAACAAGCTATATTATTAAAATCTATTATTTTTGTTTTCAGTTACAAATTGCCGTAAATGATAATTCTCACTTAGAAACTGCAATTAACTATATAGTTACATTTATTAGTAGTAATAGTAGAATGGATGTCTTTAGTTTTCATGGCTATATAGAAACACATTCCATACATTTATAGCATACAAAGGAATTTTGTCTATCTATAAATACAAATTTAAGGCAAATGGAGTTTGGTCTGTTACTTGGATACCCTATATTTTTAAAAATAATTGTAATTTCCTCTTAAAAGTTTTAAAAGATTTACGATTTTGAATAATTCTAGACAGTTGGTTAAATTCTTGTAGAACTTTAGCTATTACTGTTGTCAGGTTGATAACAATGTGAAACGCTTGTACACTAGCACAATTTAGTTGGTAAATCTTGTAACAATCACCAGCAAGGGTAGGATTCCAAATATTCGAGTATTTTTAATGATATCAGATTTGCCTGACTGCTATAATAGTTACCCAGGTTACTGGCACATTCACTCTAATTTTCAATTAGAAGTGGTATTTAGTTATAACTTATAATTTTATTCACAACTTCTAGCTTACAAATGTAACTAATTGCCATTTTTAACTGACAATTATAGATAAAACATATTTTTATGCAATGTTGGCAGGTATACTATGAACTATAAATTTCAGGAAGCAGAACTGACTGGTATCACACCTCCAGAGATGCCTCTAGAACCAGGGGAAACACTACCCTGTATAAGGAGACGTGTTGGCACAGCATACCAACTCTCTGAGAATTTAATAAAAAACTCTAGCAAAGATGAACTTATAGCTGACTTAGAGCTGCAAATTCAGCTACATGCTAATATGGCTGAAGCAGCATTGGGACTGGCAAATGAACAAAACATGAGCAAGGTATGGGCCTTCACATAAAAAAATGGTGTCAAGTAGAGTGACTTGTACTTTCCATGTTTTGAGTATTTTTGCATTGCACTTATATTTATTTGCAATCATAATTTTTTGTTAGACTATGAAACGTCAACATAGAGCTGAGTATCAGAAGCATAAAAATCAGTGCATAGCATTACAATCAAAACTCGCACTTTTGAAAGAAAAAGCAAATTCTGAGCACAAACAGAAGAAAAAGCCAAGGGCCCCTGAATTTGGTAAGTATCAGGATGTTCATACAAAAAATTCCTCAAAAAGAATTCAAAGTTCCAGTTGATCTAGGGCTGTGTTTGCGAATTTATGAAACATTTTGCAACTTTGCCTCTAGAATCCTGTGAAGATATCCATAACCATTAGTGGGGTATACATTTTTATTAGGAGCAATCTTGAGTGTTTTCATATAGTTTACAAACACCAGATTAAAGTGTATTTTGCAATATAATCACTCATCTATTATAAGTAAAATCTTACTCCAAGGGATTCTTTTAACAAATAACAAGCAGCAATATAGCACTGACCAAAAAATCTACAATTCAAACCACATTGTACAACTTCATAGACGCATGCCAAATATACAGGAGGGATGTACCAACCATTGGCGAACTACACACAGGTGGCAGTGTCACCAATTCATTTTCATGAATTTCAACTTTGGACTAAACTATAAAGACTACATAAAAATAAAAATCATTTGAGTTTGATATCATATTTTTTCTTTCAATTTTGTGTCAAAGGCCTCATTTTAACATCTTTCTTGCAGTTTCAGAAGACAATGTATCTCTGGGGGCCACTGTGAATGAACCATTTACAAAAACTGAGCTCAGACACAGTATAAGATCAGCAAAGCACAGTCCTTCAAGCCAAAGTGGCAACAGCACTGAACAGAGATACGAAACATCAAGTACAAGCATGTATCGAAATTCGGACATGTCTTATATCGCAACACACTATCGTCCCGAGGATTTATTAACTTCTGGTGTCTACAGGTTGAGTCTCAATGGATATAGCAAGTATATGGAAAAGTAAGGGTTTTTGCGTCGCTTTTCTATTTTTACATATTTGGCTTTGCCACGAAAAATGTCTTACTTTCTTCATAGATACAAGCAAAGAAGCTAGTAGCTAATTTGGTTAGAAGGTGAAAACAGGTCACTTGGGGCCTCTCTTGTATCCTAGCATCAAATTGATTTCGGATTCTCAATCTGCATAAGATATTTTAGGAATTGTCTCATAGGAAACTTCAAAATATAGAAATTTGAAAATAACTTTCAAAAAAACCGTTAAGTATCGTGGGGTGGTATTTTAGGAATGCTCCACAGGGCTATAACGTAAAAAACCTAAAATAAAAAACGACATAATGATAATTTGCTGCCTAGATAGTTCCTAGTGTGCAAATGCATTCCGCGTTTGCTCCCTATGAGCGGTGTGAGTGTCCTTCCTTGGAGGAATGACTTAACGACACGACACGCTCAATGACCATGTTGCAAGCCGTAAGTCAGTTCCCCATTATGCTTTGTTGGTTGCATAATCCCCAGATAGTCTTTAGAGTGGGCACGTGCCAAAATCACGTAACCTTTTTTTGACACGCTTATTACTAATTTGAATTTCTCTTTATTAATGGTAGAGTGCTGATTCCTAGGCCAAACCCTTTCTAATGATCTTCTTTTGTATAATTGCATTCGTATTATATCTTTCTCTCTTAGCGACTCAGTCTGGTGTGAAATCTTTTGGACACTAATGTTATAGTATTTTATTAACGACTATCGCAGAAATTTACTCATAAAATATCGTTGGTCTCTCGTAGAGTTGGTTTTCTAGGGTCCACGCATTGGCAATCTGCAAAACACTCTCTAGAACACCCAACTCTATGAAGGAAAGTTAAATGAGTAGCCTGGATGAAGATATTTCCAATAGGAAAACAAATAACGGAGAAAAACCACAGTGTTTTGCTGATTGCCAATGCGTGAACCCTATAAAACCAACTCTACGAGGGACCAACGATATTTTTGTGATCGAATTTCTGAGATAGTCGTTAATAAAATACCATAACATTAGTCTCCAAAAGATTTCAACACAATACAGCAACATTTCGTACACTAATTACTCGATCTAGACTATACAAACATCGCTAGCATGCGAAAGAAGGATGCCCAACTATCTATCGGAACATCGAGCAGCCCACAAAATCAAGCATACCTTATCTTCTATCACTTGTCCGAGAGGTTGTATGTTCTACGGAGCACTTTGCTTTCCGTCTATCTCCGATAGCCTATGTCGTATCGACGACATCCTAACGATGATAAACGGTGCTGTTTACGACTGGTTGGGTTGATAAAAAGCAAAAAACAAAGTTTTTGAGTTTCAAAAATTTTTGAACCCACCATAAAGAAAAACTGAACATGACAGAAAATGAACGGAGACCCCCAACAAACATAAAAAAGAATCTATTATTTCCTATCACGTGTTTACATCTCATCACTTCCAATTGAAATCGGCGCAGATGCTACTGGGATTATGCACTAATAAAATCGCCAACAGACAAACCGACGGAATTGAAAAACATGGCTTTTTGTGATGTAAATATAAAGCGTACTTTCAAACTTGGAATATTTGCAATTGAAATACTCTGCTAGCCTCCGGTTCGCAGCATTGAGTCTCCGAAAATACTCGAATTACTTCCCTTCTCCCTTGCCATTATGTGACGTTATTTTTGGATAAGGAAATCAAGCTTTATTTGATTTTGATTTTTTCTAATAGCTCAGAATTAACTATATAGACACGCCAACCAAAAGCCGTATGATACATCGCCCATCAAAATACCCTCCGATTCACAAAAAAAAACAACACTGAGTCTCTCAAAATATTCGAATTTACAAAACACTGTTAGATCAGTGTTAGAAAGCAGTGCTGAGTCGTCCACAATACCCGAATTAACTGAACGGCGTCATATCGGTCTACCGATCACTTGAATTCCATTCCGTCTATAAATCAGGTGCGTAGGAGTAGGATAGAGCTATGTCTATCTTTTATCTATGTTCTGAAAATTCATGGACATGCAAATCTGTTGTGTACTCAAGAGTGTGCCAAGCAAAACATGTCAAAAAATGACATGGAACCACTAGCATCTTTTATGGGACATACACTTGACCACCTTGCATCATATCGATTACCAGATGACGTCTACCAAACGGCTAGACTCTCCAAGAATCTGACGTTGATGGAGAAGGGCGAGGCCGGTCATTTACAAAAGAAAATCGCTAATTTGCATCTGGACGAGGATTTGATATCAGAAGCACAGCAAGATAATAATCACCCAGAACCTCCATATCAGTATGAAGATATCCAAGGACCGTATCCAGATCCGGAATCTCAACAAGTGGATATAATTTTTCCGAAGAAAAATACCAGAGTTCTAGTTCCTTGAACTAAAGATCAGAGAAATGTAGTCTTAGCTCACTTTCAAAATCACATTTAGGCTAAAAGGTCCTCAAAAAGGGATGAATGCGATGACCTAATCGCGAGTTATACTAAATTATGACATCGTTCAATAAAGTAGAAGTTAATTATGAGCATAAATTGTATCACAAACTATAAAGTATAACCATTTTTCTACTCAACAACATAATCAGATTCACCATTTATTCATGCATAATTCGAATCGCCTTTCACTAAGAAATGTTTAAACTTTTTTGTCAAAGATAAAATTAAGAAAAAATGTCGATTGGTGCGTTGTTAGGGCTGTATGGTATGGCATTCTGAACTAATCCATTTACTCGAAAATGCGCCATATCAAATTTCTAACTTTCCCAAACGTTAAGAAATTTTTCTGTGGAAAGCGATTCGAAAATGATTTACGGGTTGAAAAGCTGATGTCATGACTCAACGAATATTTGAATTTTAATGACATTTGTTTTGTTAAGTGCGAACATTGTCATACTTTCGTGATGTCAAGAGCAACGACATGAGCCTCACCATAAGACTGGATGAGCTTACTCCACAATTGCGTGACATAAGCTGGGAGGTGCCGGAAACCATATTGCCTGTCGCTAATCAAGCTGTGACGTTCGAGATAGTCCAGAAGCTCGCGATTTATGCACCTCTCCATCACCTTACTTATAACAGAAAGCAGAGCTATAGGCCTGTAGTTATAAGGGTCGGTCTTAGATCCTTTTTTTGGGATGGGTTGGACATGAGAAAATTTCCAGTTTTCTGGAAAGGTGCCGGATTCATAATAAATCTGGAAGAGACACGAAAGAACTGGAGCAAGCTGCGCTGCACACGTCTTCAGTACAATGGCAGGAATCACGTCCGGACCAGAAGCTTTGTTGATGTCGAGCGACAAGAGCACTCGTCGTACGGTCTCATGTCTTAATGTTACCTCCCGCATAGTGCAGGGAACCCTTTGAATTGACGGCACTTGGGCGTTGGGGGGGACGTCCATGGTGGAGTTTTCAGCAAAGATCTTGGGCCTTTGAGTCGAATACAATAGTTCCATACTGACACGTAAGTGTTGGAAGGCTACTACTGTGTGAGAAGTTCTTTTCAATCTGCCTGGCCAGCGTCCAGAAAGACCGACTGCCATTGCGCCGCGACATCATCCTGTGCCTAACTTTTATATCGTGCTGGTTTTTGGCACCGCTTCGTTATATTTCTGTCTGGACTCGACGTCGGCTTGTCTGTTCTCTACAGTGGGGTTTTGTAAGAAGGTTCTGTGTGCCGGCGCGGCAAAGCCCGGAACTACGGTACCCAAATTTTGAAAAAAACACGATCTGGGTCAACCGTCTGGAATTTTGCCGGGTGACAAAGGGGAGCGCCTCAGGCCGACTGGTGAAATTTGCGATAGGTCCTCCATATACGGAGGACCTAGCGCAACGGAGGACCTATCGACTCTAAAAAGCCAATAAGTGGAGGACCTAACTATCGGAATCTGTATGTATATATATATATATATATATATATATATATATATATATATATTTATATTGATATAGTGAAGTGAAGTCATACTGAATTTGAGCATTGATGAACGTATTCCATCTGACGATAGCCAACCTAATGCTGTATTAGGGCGTTCAAAAAATTATCCGAGATGATGAGAATGTTTCTTTCTCCTATCCACAATAAGCAGGTCTAATTTGAAAAGGTTCGTGTCTTGTAATCCGTCTATATATAATCATAAAGCGCCATCTATGAGACACTAACTTTTTCAAAGTAGATTCCTAGTTATTGGGAAGAAGAGAAAGCTGTGACGAATATAGTATTAGGTTGGATATTTAAAAATACGTTAATCAACGATTTGACGTAGAAACTTCGTGTAAATTTTCCTCTTTAGCTTCCCTTACTACAAATAAATGAAAATTGGTACACTGTTTTAAGGTGCTAGATTCAGATATGACCATCAAAAAATCATGAAGTGTCATGGGCCATAGTTTAAGTTAGAAAATGACTCACTCAGATCCCCTGTGAGTCTTACGAGTCAAATTTGTGTTGGATTCGGAATCTATGCACTCGATTTCCCCATAAAACTTCTTGTCGTGCTTATTTATTTATATATATTTTTTTTTTCCAGGAGAGAAAATATGAATGTGTACCCCTCATGCTATTCCACGACACCTCCAAGCATGTATCAGTTCAATGCAGGCCAAAATTCCTCCCACATGTCACAGCATAGCTCATACATGTCTCAGCATAGTCCTCACTTATCCCAGCATAGCCCGCACATGTCTCAGCACAGCCCACATTCTTCACAAAATAGTCCACACATGTCCCATGTGACACAACATAGCCCTATCATTCATCAGCATAGCCCTCAAATGTCGCAACACAGTCTGCAAATGCAGAGGAATTCTCACGTGTACAGTTATCCCCAATACTCAGATTATCGACTGAGTCATAATCCCCAAATTCAAAGTCCCCCTAAGGTTCAATACTATCCCTCGCAGGGGATGTCTAACTATAGGGGTTACGAGGGGAGTTATAGAAATCCGCATCAAATTCAACCTCACCAGCAATATGAACAGATGAACGTTACTTCAGGACTAGGTGGTTGTTGGAAGAAAACAGAGAGTGGGGAATTTGTTTGGTGCAATTCGAGTACTATTGATATCAACTGGCAGCGTGACAAAAGGTAAGGGCTGTTACAAACCTATACAATGGTCTTCCAGGCAAAACTGATAAATTTTTTAGAGATATTTTTACTTACTATGTCAAAAATGGCGAGGAAATATTTTTTAATTGCCGAAATTGAGATATGTTTTTTGTATAATATTTATTTGACAAATTATGGACATAACAGAGAAAATCTGCAAATTAGACATCCACAGATACTCGTAGGTAAACATACTAAATTGTAAGGATTGTTATTTATGATCTACATATATGATGTATGTATATGAAGAGAAAATGATCATGGGGAGAAAGGTATATATAAAATAGAATAGATAGCCCAAGCAATACGTTTTTGTCCTTGATGGCTTCATCAGACCCAAAATGAATGCACATATGCAATCATAAAAGTAGATACACATGCTCATACATTCGGATACGAGTGTAACCTAAGGAAACGAAGATGGAGATGGCAAAAATGACACACGAAGTCCACACATCACCAGTACCACAGCAAGTGGCTATAACCGGCCGCGTGGTTGTGGTTAGATGTCGCCTTGAAAATTCGAGGTCTTCTAGCCATTTTATACTACAATGTGTAGGTTGGCTCTTGTTGGGGACTTCCTGTGTCATTTTTTTCCTCTTCATCTTCGTTTCCTCAGGTTGCACCCGTATCCGGATATATGGGCATGTGTATCTACTTTTGTGGTTGCATATGTGCATTCATTTCAGGCCTGATGAACCCAACAAGCAGAAATACGGGTTACCTATCCTATTTTCTGCTCGAATCCACCTTCCTTCTTTTTGCGGATTTTGACCATTATTTTCCTTATTTTTTGTTAAACGAGTATAACTTTCTCCGCATGATCATTTTCTCTTTGTAGACCATATGGGCTTGAAGTACCACAGCAATTGGCTATAACCGGCCGCGTGGTTGTGGTTAGATGTCGGCTTGAAAATTCGAGACATTTTATACTGCAATGTGTAGGTTGGCTCTTGTTGTGGACTTCGTGCGTCATTTTTTTCCCTCTCCATCTTCGTTTCCTCAGGTTACACCCGTATCCGGATGTATGGGCATGTGTATCTGCTTTTATAGTTGCATATATGCATTCATTTCGGGCCTGATGAAGCCAACAAGCAGAAATACGTATTGCTTGGGTTATATATATATTATTTTCTGCTCGAATTCACTTTATATTATGCGATTCATAGTTATTGTCGAAATAACCAGTTAAATGTAAGATGTTTTCATTGGGATATCAACAAATTATGCTAAGTGTACCTACCATCATCTGGAGCGAAAAAACAATTTAAAAACACTAAAATATCAACCATGCTCAATTGACTAGAAATCATTTTACTTACTCCGTCAGTGAGAATGGTGCTAGTATTCCATGTTAAAAAATGTAAAAAGGACACATGGTAAGGTGATCAAAAGACTGCATCTACGCCAAAAAACGATGCTATAACGTCACTGTGTTTTAATACTCCACTGCAGAAGGATTTGGACAACAATTAATTAGATGAATTTTTTCCCATTCAACTTTTCAAATTTACATTTTTGAATAACCTAAAAATGCTAGCGTAGTCGAGAGGTTAGAAATTTTTGTGTGAAGTTGGTATCATTTTCATTCAGGCAGCAGAAGGGGAACTGGTTTTATGTTAAAAAAACAATATGTGTGTGATACATTAAGAGGAGCGTTAGTTTTAGCACAAAACGTAATAGAAAAGTTTCGGAATTTATTATGAAAAAATTATTTTTGTTAAATTATATTGTTGATGTAAAAATACGATTCACCACTTGGCAAAATTGGTTGATGTAATCAAAGACTTGTCCTGGAGAAAAAGAGGAAGAAAAATATTATTTTATTGGAAAACCTGTTGGTTTTACCCATTGTAACGTTATATCTGTTATTGTGACAAATCAATATAGGGAGAAGTGTGCAATCGTTCCAATTTTTCGCAATTTACCAAATATATGTGGATAACATTAAGTTGCTTGACATCTGCCCTTTTGTTCATACAACTGCCAGTCATGAAGATGTGTGACATTTCTATGAATAAACGTTTAGAGGGATGTTCTCCTTTATCAAGAATCTTGATATTGTTATAGCACATCAAATGACCTGTAGTGTGAAACCAAAGCTTATCTTTCTGGATGCAATCTGAAATCACTCCTGTGCGATGTTATTCTGCGCTTTAGTGATCTAGAAATTTGGCCTATGCATATCAAATTGCAATCATTACAATTAAAATATGTTCAATATCCAATGGTGGTGTATCATCTTCTTTTATCGTCGTGTCTGTTTTTGCTTACTATAGTGGGTTATCACTGAGAGAAAATTTTCAAATTTTAACCAGTGCTGCATCCACATGTGAGCAATTTTTATAAATTATACGCTAAAAAACTGCAACTCAGAAATACTGATTTTGAGGATTAATTGCAAAACGCAAATAAGTACGCAAAAAACAGCACGAGAAAAATCGACCAGTGAGTATATTCCTAATCACCATATATAAGATATAAAAAAATAAACAGGCCCGTATCCGGTAGAAAATGGTAGCTAGGTTTAAATGTTGCAAAACAAAAGAAGCTCGTTTCTTATTTTTTGCACATCATGCAATTTTTCACGCTAGCTGTGCAAGTAGATTGAGTTCAATTGTGAAACTCTCAAATAACAAAGTATATAGTTCTGCTGCCTGTGAATCAGAGGATAACGAGCATCGAAACTACGATTCATACACTACAGAAATTAACTCATTAAATGATGAGATACAAGAAAAAGAGAAACATATAATAAGCTTAATGAAGAAGGCCAAGGATTTTGAAGAAGTTGTTTTTGAATCAAAGTTTCATAGAGGAGCGAAATTCTTTTAGGGACCAATTGAAAAACCAAAAAGAAAGAATGTGTACACTACAAAAAGAAATAATCGACGCAGAGGAGAAGAACAAAAACCTTCAGAAACAGATGGACAGTTATGAACAGATGACAAAAGACATGCAAACAGTGATGACGAACCTAAAAAATATTCATGCCGATATGCTGAAAACCATTAGAAGTAACAAACAATGCATACTCAAGGAAAATATGCTAATTAGAAGAAAGAGCAAAAGAAGACAGGTGTCGATTGACGGAGAAGTCTGAAGGAAATGCCAACGATCAACAGAATATATTAGACAATAGGAATAAACAGCTGAAGACGACTGAGGAAAATGTAACTTTGTATGATGAACTTTTTAAACAATCCAGGAACAGTGCGAACACTTCCAAGAAACTGCTCATTGTGGGCGATCAATTGGCCAGAAACTGTGCTAGAAACTTACATAATTCAATGAAGAGCATAGACTATATAGTTGAAGGAATTGTTAAGCCCAACACAGAGGCTGAAAATATCACAAGTAATATTTTCACTCAAACTTTGGATCATGGACAAAATTATTATGTAATTATTGTTTTCAGCACAAGAAACATAAGCAACCACAAAACATTTAACAGTTTTCTTAGAAATGTATTACCACTGGGTAAATTTACAAATCTAGTAATTCTTAAGTCCGAGCCTGTAGATGAAACCTTAGCAGTTCTATTGGAAAACAAAGTAATGTGTTATATTTAAAATAACCCCAACCGTTCAATGAAGTTTTTAGTAGTAAAAAATGGTTTTCGCAAATCACTGGCCAGTGTGAATCCGATACTAATCACCTAAGACACATGATTCGGGTAACCAGAATGTATCAAAAAATTCCTTAACACACGCTCACGTCTGTGAAGTGGACACGAATGATTGTCGGTATAAACTTTACATTTAAACGTACAGTGTTTGAGAAACAAGGTTGATGAACTTGAGCTGGTGGCAAAACAGCACAGTTATGACTTTCTTCTTCTTTTTTTAAAACTGTAGAAAACATAATTATGTTTTAATAAAATATGGATGGATTGGGCCAAACATTGTTGACTGAATAAAATTCCTTAAAAAGTTCACAAATTCACATCTTGGGCTAAACTAGAATTCTCATTGACGAACTCCTGAAGATGACAGCATAGCCTGTCGAAAGCTTGAGTATTTGTAAGTCACACACCCTTAGCTTAATTTGTCGATATCCCCAAAGACAAGTGTTTCATTTATATATATACATATATATATGGTGGCCCATCCATGTGTGGACGGAATATTAATCATAAACAAATACATTTTGGGAAAATCTATTTATGGAATGTTATACATGACATTTGAGAGAACATTTCTAAAATATTGACCATTATACAGGGTGTCTCAATTGTGACCTACATATCAAAGTTGTGATTTTTCAAATGGAATGCCTCAAATTTTATTGCATACTTGGATAAACCAATTCAAAAGAAGAAAATTGATATAACTTACTATGGGGTTTTGGTAATTAGCTACTGAGATGTAAGATGTTTTGTCCAGAAAAACCGTCCACTTCAGCAACCCCTCAATCCGCCATTTTGAAATTTGGAGTGCTGAATTCTGTATCAAAAAGCTCACACACCTAAGCTTTTATATTGTTTGTTACTTTTTCGAATTTTCATTTTTGCTCATACAGGGTGGTCAAAAACGCGAATTATACTTTTTCTCAGAAATTTCAAATGCATTACCCTGTATATTTGTGCAAGTTTGGATTCAATTTTTATAAGATTTTTTGGTATAAGGTTTGAATCAGATAAAATCACTAGATTTTGAGTTATTAAGCTAATAGAACAACACACCAAAATTAAGGAAAAAAATCACATCATCCATGGAAACAAAAGTCAAAGAGTGGGCTAGTTCCATATTGCCACTAAGAGTACAGATTTGACGTAAAAACCAATAACAATTAGAACAGTATAAATCAGCTTCAAGCGTAATAGAGAAAAACAACTATAACAACAACATAAACAAACAACTATACTACTCAAGACCTATTCTACAAAAACTGCTCGAAAATATCTCCACCATGTTGAATACATAGCCGTAATCTTTGGATAAATGACCGTTGCACATCCCCCTTATGTTCAGAAAAGCATCCTTAATTCTTTCCTTCATATTTTCCGGGGTGAATGGTGGATATCAATAAATCTCTTGCTTAACGTAGCCCCATAGAAAGAAGTCTATCGGTGTCATATCTGGTGATCTAGGAGGCCAAGATATAGGCCCATCACGACCGATCCAATAATTGTTACTCCAGGTGTCCAAATAGTTACGCACACGATTGTGATAATGCGCAGGTGCGCCGTCATGTTGGAAGTACATATACATCCGAGTTTGCAGGTTGACATCCTCCAAAAGCAAAGGCAAATGCTCGATCAAAAAATTCAAGTATTCTGTACCTATTAATCTGTTGTCGCAAAAGAACGGTTAACTTGTCTGCCAATAACTCCTCCCCAAACATTCAAGCTCCAATTATTTTGGAAATCTATTTGCCTAACCCAGTACGGGTTTTCCGTCGCATGTTATGCCTGTTGACAACACCTATGCTGTTAAAAGTTGCCTCAACGCTAAAAAGCCTTATTCAGGCAAGTAGTGTCTTCACTCACTTTATTTAGCATTATTCTACTAACCTCCATTCGAGCTGCGAAATCCTGAGGACGAAGGCCTTGATGCAAGCATAGATGATATGGATGGTACCGATGCTGTGAATAATCAACTTTAACAGAACCTCCAACTGATTCGCTTCATTGGTGACACGTGGATTACTTATACATTTTTTACTATATTCCACTGCTCCACTTGATTCAAAATGTTCTCATAGTGTGGAAAATGTTTCCGGCCTTGGATGTCGCATATTAGGGTACCGTTGTTTATTAATGCGAGATGCTAGAAAACTATTTCATTGGACTTCGCCCAAAACGAACACCATATTCACTATTTCTTCTTTAGAAAAATTCATTTTCAAACACGTTTTTATTATAATGCTCACGAAGCTAATTTTGACAGTTTGTAACTAATCAAAAATTTATTTGTTTCCAAGGATGATGCGATATTTTAGGGAATTAAGCCGTTCCATAAAAGACGTGCTAATAACTGAAAAAATAGCCGTTATGTGTCTAGTATAAAAAAAGCTTATAAAAAACTGAATCCAAACTTGCACAAATATACAGGGTGATGCATTTTCATTTTTTTAGAAAAACTACAATTTGCGTTTTTGACCACCATGTAGGAGCAAAAATTAAAATTCGAAAAAATAACAAATAAGATAAAATCTGAGGTGTGTAAGTTTTTCTGATACAAAATTCAGCACTAAAATTTCAAAATGGCGGATTGAGGGGTTGCCAAAGTGGACGGTTTTTCTGGACAAAACACCTTACATCTCAGTAGCTAATTACCAAAACCCCATAGTATGTTATATCAATCTTCTTCTTTTGAATTGGTTTATCCAAATATGCAACAACATTTTAGGCATTCTATTTGAAAAATCACAACTTTGATATGAATGTCGAAATTGGGACACTTTGTATAATGGCCAAAATTTTATAAATGTGCCCTCAAATATCATGTATAACATCCCATAAATAGATTTTCTCAAAATGTATTTGTGTATGAGTAATATTCCGTCCACACATGGATGGGCCACCCGGTTCAGTAAGGAAAAAAATTATTACAAAGAATGGGAACGTAGGTTGCAAGGGAGTGACCAACATTGTTTTTCATCCAGTATTTAAACTTTAACAGTTCACAAGCAAAAATATCATCAAATTTACCATAGTTGTTCAGATTTCTTTACATTCGTACCAGAGCAGGGCTTAAACCAATATTCGTTCTACAAAATGGAATATTGAAGTATGTACAGTGTCTAGGATTCACTCTTATCAGTACATTTTCGATGAAAGGTAAAATCAGTCAATTTGATTGTTATATGACATTACATCACGAAAAAACGTGTCACTCATTTCTGTCGATCTGTTCGCTAATTTTATAACCGCCTATAACTTGGAACGTATTGCTCGAATTTTGATGTAATTGTCAGACAAGGATGAAAAAGGATGAAAATTGGTCTAGTGGTGGCGGAGCTAATGTCAAAAACACGAAAAAAATAAAATTCGCTTAAAAATTTGGACTCTTTGACGTTTCAGAGGCCCCTTATTTTCGGAAATTTTTTTGTAGGGGTTGAAACTTGGTGGTGGTAGGGGATTGTAAATGTATTGTCTCTAATATTCAAGTCCGACGTATAATGTGCCCATAATTTGAAATAACTTTGCAATCATTGGTAATGCTGAATCGTCGTGGAGGCCACTGCCGACTCTGCGATTGGTAACAAACTGGGGAACTGGGGAAACGTTATATATTTTAGCAATATTTAGATATTAGGAGTACGTACCACTTTAGCGTTCTGCGATGCTTTTGTAAATGATGACTCCACACATGTATTTTGCTGAATTTTATGATTTTTAAATGTACCACCCATGTCGCCTAACTTTTAATATGTGTTACTCCGTCTATGATGGTTCTCTGAATATTTCGTCAAGTAGATTGACTCAGTACTTATGAGGCATTGATATACAAATGATGACTGACAAACCGACATAAATGAGAAACATGGACTTGTGTGATGCAGATATCTTTAAGCAACAGAAAACCTGTGAATCAAAGTTCGAATATTATCGCGTTTAACTTCCATCGTTTAAGTATTTTGAGAATTGATTCAAAGGCGCCGGACATAAAATCGCTAGAACATAGTGTTACAACGTTTCAGAAATTCCTGCTCATTTTCAGACACTGTTTGGACGGGATGAAAATTTTAGATTGTAAGCTGCTTGCGGTAAATAGTTGTACTCTGTTTAAAATACTGAAAAGCTTACCTGATTTTAATTCCTTTTTCTACGATTATTTAGGCTTATGTAGATCTTATTAAACATATTAAAAAAGTTCATATATTCTACGGTGTCGATATGGAGATGCGAGATGCTCAAGTTCATTCCTTTTAAATTAAAGATTTTCAATTTCTCTTGAGTTGCTAATTAGATGAAACTGTATGAATCGACGGTAGAAAAAAATTTATTTCGTAAGGCTTCAACAAGTATTTTTTACAGGTTTGGTAGTTTAGACAGAAGGAAAAACAAGAGAATTTCTAAACGGATATCGCCGAATGTGGATAATAAGTCTGCAACATTAGCCACGGTGCCGAACTACCAGGATCAAATCAGAAGTGCATCAGTAAAATCATCCCAGGTTTGTAGAATCAACCAAAAGTTCGATGAAATTTTACATCTATCCAAATGTGATAGCAGTAGTACTAGTAGTAGTAGTAGTGGTGGTGGGGAGAAGTATTTTTGGATTGAAGTCGAAAAATTATTTATGTGAGAGGAGTTTTTACTCGCTGTCAATTCTTTGGCAAATTAAATTGGACATTGTAGTTTTGTGATGCTATGTACTTTTATTGTAAAGTGTTTATTATGACTAATAAAGCAACCATTTACCATCTAATCGGAATTAACTTCCAAGGTGAAGATTCATTACATACATATTTGTCTACTGGCTCAAATTAATATGATTTTTTTGCAGGTTGTAAGTCGGAGAAGTCAAGATAATGGAAATTTGGTTAGGACTCAGTCTCTCGGTAGTGTGGGGGCACAAACAGTGGATAGTATATTATATCCCAGTGACGATAACTCTTCATGTGGAAGTGACAATCGGATAAATCAGAATTTAAGAAAATATAAGGAAAAGGAATGGTGAGATTAATTTATCTGGGTTGCTTTAAGGTTTAGGCATATCACTAGAGTATACCCAATTCAATTGAAAAATGTGTCTGCGCGAAAAGGAGCATACATACTATTTCCACTCAAACCAGTTTCTGAAGCCGTTGTTTAGTATTATCGTGATGAAATTAAAACTCTTGCAACAGGGGTAGATGGTATTAATATTATAGAAATGCTACTGCTATGCTGTCCGTACATTTTGCCAGCTGTAACACATATCAATTGTTGCTTGATTGATGACATTTTTCCAGATTGTTGGAAAGTAGCAAAAGTTCATCATCCGCCAAAAAAATGCACTATAAGTAGCTTGTCTGACCTTCGTCCAATTTCTGTACTACACGTACTCTCTAAGGTTTTAGAAAAAATTATGAAATTTCAATTATTGCAACATTTAAATTACTATGATTTACTGCCTTCATATTAGTGAGGTTTTGCGTAAGGGTTTTAGTTGTACGACTGCGCTTTTATGGTTTGTTCGTACAGTAGTCGGTAACTTGTCGGTGACTGTCAAAATCAGAATCAGAGAGATGTTAGCTGTTCGTACAGTTTCTGAGTGTTTGCTGACAGCTAATCCGCCGTTCGTACAGAACCTTCGGACAGATCAGAGGACAACCAGTGACAGTGACGGGTATCAGAGTGTGTCGAAACTATCTTGAGGACTAAAATTGCTTCGCAAGAGGCATTTAATGAACTTTTCTCTAATGGACGGTCTTAGGACACCTTCGTACCAGCGGGCCGTGGGCTTCCATGGTGTCGCCCCGCGATGTGCCTACCTGACTTCGACCTCCCATCGTAAGCGTGTCGAACTTCGTACATGCAGAACTGGCCGATAAGACCGCTTCTTTGTCCCGAAGGTGTCTGAATCGTGTAACAATCTACATGAGGAGATTTTCCCAGTTCTACTAACTTTAGGCAGTTCAAAAGTGGGAATAACAAAATTTCTTTAAGCTCCCCAAGGCAGCCGCGGTGCCTTGACATGTAGGGTTCACCTGCGCGGCTGCTTCGGTGTGAAAAAAAACTGAGCGATATACCAAGAAGATGAAGACCTTGAAGATCTACTAAGGAGAGAATGAAACCCAAAAACCTTAATTTAGAAGAGAAACCAGTGCCACAATTCAACAGAAACAAGGTTTTGTAACAGTTTCGGGTGAGTAAGTGGCAGAAGAAATTTTAATCAAATTCCATTTTAAATATCAGCCAGCGCCAAAGTGCTTTGTGCTTATTGACCCGGTAATGGAAAAATGAAGATTATGAATACAGTATGAAAAATCCGAACAATAGAGGACATAACTTTCAAGAACCATAATTAATACGATTTTTATTTTATTGATTATAGCAACAATAATAACCATAAATAAGCAGAGGTATTAACAGTCTTCCAAACTCTGTTGCTATGCAAACAAATGAAATCTGATAATTTCAAGGCCTACCTAGGAACCTCTGGATTAACTGAGGTTTTGCAATATCAATATATGACATACATTTTTTAAATCAGAATAAAAATTCTATTCATGTGTGTAAGAACCCAATATGGCGTCTATAAGAAAAAAATAAGTTGATGCTGGAGGACAAGAGACGAAACGTCATATTGAAATTCTAATTGTGCCGTCTTGTAGAGGAGAAAATGTGGCAGAGTTCATGTGCAATTTATTTTGAAATCCCACCACAAATAGAGACAGGAGAAAATTAAAACCATTTTGGGAAATTTCGTGTTTACGTCTCCTTCCGGACTACTACTACTTTCAATTTCAAAAATGTCTAAGCGACATTTTGCTTATTATCTGAATACGCAACTTTGCCCCTATATCACTTCGTATCCCTTGAAGTTTCCGAGATCCCAATGGTGAGGGTCGAATTTAAAATACCCTGTATAGGGAAAATATTATTTTCACCCCAGCAGAAGCAGTCACTCCCTCTCCGTGGGCACCCGTGAGAAAAAGCTGTATCACAAAATCTCCAGAATCCGTTATTTTGTTTATTTTTTCATCAGCTTTGGGTTGGACTTACATAGCTAGAATATATAAATACTGTTTGTGCATACACTTCGAGGCAGGGCGACAAGGGAGCAGGGAACAAAAACCCTGCTATCCGAGTTTTATTAAAAGTCATTCACAATACTTTGTACATTTCTCATGCATAATCACTGCAGACGTTTATTTAGAATTCTTACTATGTATTTACTTCTTCAACTTGTCATTCGATGTGTGGAATCATATTTTTGGAATTTATGTTTATACTTTTTATATGAGAGTAAATCCACTTGACATTTTAGGATGCTGTTATTTTTTCTAGAATATGTCCATGTTTTCCTCTCTAAGTGAAATTTCCGGCTCATTTGGACAGTTGGACGAAAAATCCTAGATCATTCTGGTTTACATCAAATGAACCCCCAACTTTTTCCGGATTGTCTACTTTATTCTGAAAAATGTTATATTCGAATAATTATTGTACTTGATTTCGAGCTCTGACAATTTACTGGCAAATTATCATCTGACTGATTTGACAGTCATCAAACAGTCAGTTTCTGTACGAACAGCGGATTAGTTGTCGGTAATCGGTCTGACCTCCCTCAGCCAACTCGTAACGTTCTCATGTACGCAATTAATACAGTCAGCGACGTGTCAATGACAGCTAACTGCGTAAACTAGGTTATGACTTGTCGCCGACTATCAGTTTGCTGATTGTCAGCAAACAGGCTGTACGAACAAACCATTAGATGTTAGAGATGATATTTTCAGGGATATGGATGACGGCAACACGACGGCCCTTGTATTACTCGATTATATAAAGGCATTTGATACTATCAATCATCAATTGAAGTTTTCTATTTTAAAATATATGGGATGTTCTGAGAAAGCGATTACATTTTTTAAAAGCTATTTTGCAATGAGAGTTTAGTTTGTCGTAACTGCATCAGGTTCTTCAGACTCAAAGCCTGTTCCGTGTGGGGTGTCTCGGGGCTCTATCCTGGGTCCTTTATTATTTTCGGTGTACTCTACTAATATCACTAGTTGCTTAAAATATTCAAAACCTTATCTATATGCCCATGATACTCAATTGAATTTTCAGTTTTCTCACGCTGACAAACTCTGCAACTGCTTTGTTGAATGAGGATCTTGGTAATTTGGCAAACGAAAGTTCAGCTCTTGAGTTATCTATAAATCCATTAAAATCAAATGTTTTGTTATTTGGGAAGCACTATATCAGTCTTGTAAGCTCTTTCATTATTACAATCAATAATAGTACTATCCCACATACATCTTCTACAAGGAATTTAGGGTTAGTCATAGATAACGATTTGAGATTTACAAAGCATGTTGATAAGTGCATTGGTCAAGCTTATAATTCTGTTTCCAAACCGTCATATTTTTTCCAGTGACCTCAAGATTTTACTTTGTGATACGCTTGTTTTGTCTTTGTTCAAATACTGTGACTCAATGTATGGTCCTTGCTTAGCAACAAATAATACTGGCCGGATACAGCATGTTCAAAAATCTTGTCTCAGGTTTATCTGTGGAGTTAGAAAATTTGTACCTGTTCCCTACAAGTTATCTGAAGCAGGTTGGTTAAACATGCAGGCAAGGAGAAACCTGCGCGCTGCAGTTATTTTTCATTTTTCAAGATTATTTTCTATAAAACTCCGCCCTACTTATATAATAAAATTACATTCCGTAGTGATGTTCACAATGTCAGTGTCCAGTTCAGATGTCTCATTTCTCAACCACCACATCGCACTGCAATGCTCAGTAGGTAATTTTTACACTCTATTTATCGCTTGTACAACCACGTTTCCACAGACTTTAAGTCCATGCCAATGTCAGCTTTCAAAAGAAATTTCTTTTGGAGCAGTAATATTTGAGTCTCTCCTGGGTTCTCCTTCTCATCTAGGTATGCGTTTTAAGCTGAAGTTTGATTACAGAAACATAATATATTGTATGTAATTTTTTTTCTGGAGTTTATTTTTGTCATTTTGGAATGAATTGGTTAAAATTGTATTATCCGTAGACGGCTATAAAAATGTGGTCTCTGTTTTGTTTTGTCAGTGGGCCAGTACTTTGATCAGTCCTAGACTGTTTGCTGGTCCATTTTGCAGTAAGTTAAATTTGTTTCCCCTATTTTGTATTCTAAGCAATTTTTCAACTGAAAATAGACGCTATTATTACGAGTATTATAATTATATTATTATACCATGGCACCAACAACTACTTATGCATACAACTGTCTTTAGGCCTTGGGGTGCTACTTCTGGAACTGTTGCCACCGGTTACCGGTAGGGTCCGACCAATGGTTTAGCTTCGACAACATTTTGGGCAAAAATACATACTCACCCTTCGTCCAAAAAAGCCGAAGTTTTCGCCAAAGGACAAAGAATCCAGTCAACTGAAAGTGATAATTTAGATAGTCATAATCATCCAGCTTAAGAAGAGTAAAAACACTCAGCATGAGATAGCGCGAAGCGCCATCTATCACACCAGAATCAAACCGCTGCTATTAGTCGGAATTGTCATGAATCTCAGCTAGATGGCTAAATGTAGAAGTGGTCTGCTTGTCCATGGTTGGCTATCTTCTTTTCTTGTTCGGACGGACTTGCTTAACCAGTAAAAACACTGTTAAGGTATATTGACAGATACAGGGTGGCCCAACGAAAAGGTCGCACCCCCATTTGTGACTCTCCTTGTATATTTTGGGAAAAACGCTCGGACACGTCAATTTTGATTTCCGGAATTTTTTTTCATCTATAGCCGTACAATACAGGGTGATCCAAAAAAAAGATATTACGTTACACTTTATATTTTTAAATGGAAATCCCCATTTGGATTCTTCATGACGTTTTTGGTCACTTTTGAATAATAAGGTTTATACCTATATTAAATCGTAAAGCTATTTGAGTTTATAATAAAATTATAGAAATTGTGATAATGAGGGAATATATCGTAGAAATTATAATCAATATAGTTTCCATAGTTACAAAACTTCACTGCAAAATTAAAAACAAGTTTTCGAGTATTGAAAAAACAAAAAACAACTTACAGGTTACACGCACATTAAAATTGAATTGAAGTAATTTGCTGTAAAGAGGTAGGTCATTGTGATAATAAGTGCTGAAAGTGGTGTCCATTTACCTCCATGCAATAATAAAGATTTTGTCGAATTTATTCCCGACATTTTCAAGCATGTCTTGAGTTATTTGTCTACATTCAGCCGTAATCCACCGACGAAGATCTTGGATGAAATCTGGCTTCGTACTAAAAACTTTACTTCTCAAATGCCCCCAAAGAAAATAATCTAAAGGACTTAGGTCCTGAGATCTGGGCAGCCACTCGATGGGGCCTCGTCTGCCGATCCACTGATTCGGAAATGGGTGTCCAAAAACTGTCGTACTGGAGCCACATAGTGCGGCGGTGCACCATCTTGTTGCAAATGACTATACTTTTATTACAATTAACGCCATTTTCTATTATTTCGGTAATTCGCGGCTCTATTGTATTTTCTAACATGTCCAAGTACATCTCGCCCGTCAAGTTTCCAGGGATAAAGAAAGGTCCTACAATATGATTAAATAACAGATATGCATTGTTGATTAAACGGTGGGACGTTAATTCGCAAAACTCCAACGTTTTATCAAAATCGTCTTCATGGGCAAGTTTTATCGTGTACGAGTGAAATTTATTATATTTCAAAATTCTTTGTACTGTTGAGCGTGTAAATCCTGAAGAAGTAGCCAGACTCGAGTGATTTGGTTGTTGTCAGGTGCTACGTCTCCCAAAACTGCTATTTCTGCGACTTCATTTCTACTGGTCAATTTTATCGATGGCGATTACGGTGAATATTAGACACAAATCCAGTTTCTTCAAATGTTCTTGTCAACTTAGCCACATACTTATCGTTAATATGTTTGTCTAGATGTAACGCATTAAACAACCGGGCAGTAGCTCATTTTGGTAATAAAATTTTGCTATTTCTACCATTTCTTGAATTGACATACGATGACTACCCATGATTATTTTTTGCCTTGCATTCCATTATTATCAGTATTAAGTTAGTCGAATTTTATTATAGGCTCAAATAGCTTCACAACGATTGAAGATGGGTGTAAACCATATTATACAAAAGTTTATAAAAATTTCATTGGAAATCTAGAAATTACAAAAATTGGGGTTTCTATTTAAAAATCTAAAGTGTATATGACCAGTTTATTATAATTATTCCCAAGTGCTAAACCTTAGATTGTAGACTACGTGATAGTAGAATGCTTTCTATTATTAACCCCATCGACTACTAAACACAGCTAGACCTTGCAACTCATTCATCAATTGCCAATAAAGTGGGTGAACACATCAATTGTTGACCGAAAAGCTGCTACTTGCAAAGATTTGGCAACATTGCTGTGATTGTTTTCACCATAGGCGTACCACAAAGATTTGTGTCGCAGACATTAATGATGAGAGTCGTAGAATCTGCTCATACTGTCAAAACGTCGAATTTTCTCGACGAGTAATTAAAACTATATAATGGATAATATAGCAAAACTATGTAATAGGGAGTATAACGTTCCAAATGCGCTATATTTATACTTTGATAAAGTAGTGTAGCAATCAAAACCCAAGTACGAAATATTCACCAAGCATACATCCTTGATTTAATGATTGGTCAAGGAAAATGCGATTAAGCATAAAAAGGGAATCATTGGTTACAGAAGTTGCATTAATTATTGATAAACGTAGTCGAGGGGATGTTCTGGGAAATGCAAATGCTTTAACAACCATGTACATATTGGACTGTAAACAGGGTGCTGTAAAAAATAGTCTGTATAACGTTGTGCAGGAAAAACAAAGACGAAGAAAATATAAAAATATATTCGTATTGATATACCCGTCATCAGAAAATACAATTTTATACATAATAATCTAGTTACCAAATATGTTATATAGATATACAAATAAATAATAAATACACGTGAACATGAACATACAAAAGCGGTCGGATATTCCGGTTAAGTAGATATGAATACATATTAGGGAGATAGGAATATATATCTAATCAATACAAAATGAAATCATTTTAAAAATATTTCTAAATACTTCTCTGGGTATGTGCAAAAGCCATATTTTTTAATCAATCAAATCACATAAACACAGAATTGAATGTAATGTTATTTCTTGTTTCATCAAGATATTGTTTTCAGCATGTTCTACAAGCTTGGAAACTACAGAATAAGGATTTTTATCTTGATTAAGTTTTCGTATGAGCATCAAATGTTTTTAAAAACTAACCTTTTCCTGGTTGAGCTATTGTCATCTCATATAGTTTGGCTACAACTGGACTCTGCTGATGTACTTCCTACATAATCTTCCTTCTGTGACATGTCATCAGTTAAAAGAGAATTGAAAAACAACCAATCATCAGGTGATCCTGCTCATAACATTAAATATAGAGATTTTCTCATATTTCAGTTTTATCTTCATAGTGGAACAATACAAATTTACTGATATCACAAGGTTTTATGAAAGAATGTTTGCCACCCAGGAAACATCATGAAAAATATTTCTATACCATCAAAAATGTTATCAAAAATCACAACCACAAAGCTCTGTGTAAAATAAGAGCTTTAATATTCAAATACACACCTGAAAGTTCTTGAACTAGAGAGATCAAACGCTGCTTGCATCTGAATCGGTACAGCATCCCTTTTCAGGAGTCTGGACCCATCTTCTCGATACACATAATCAATCTCAATGAAGTTTGTTGAGCATATTTCTGCCAATTTTGAGAATTTATGATCTGGAGTATAGCCCAAAGCAGACAACATTGTCTTCTTTGAAGGTTATTAGGTATCCTAAAAATAATAACACCTCATAAATAATATTTTTAGAAATCATGTTATATTGTGTAGAAATTGTCATTAACCTTGTCACATGTACGAGTAGCTTTTGGATAAATTTCGCCCCAGTAACGGGAGAATTATTATTAGAGAATTCAAATTGACATTTACATCATAAGAGGTAAGTGATGGATTATAGGTTATCATTAACTTTTACGCGTCAGATATTTCTCAATATTAGTTATCATATGTTTTGAACAAGCCGCGTTATATAAAATTTTCTTTGGTTCTCCACACAATACATTTATTCGTAAAATGAATCGTTTTGTAGGCCCGTGCAGACAACAAAATTCTTAAAATTAGGCTTCAAAACTTGAAATAAACCTTTCGATTAATATCGTAAAGTAATCAAAACAGCAGCATTAAAATACCAGTTGAAACGTTAATTGTTCGGCACCAGACTGGTAATCACACACTTTACACAAAAAGCACACTCTAACCATTGTTGATTTTGATAAAAATCGGTTAATAACACAAAAACACTACTAACCGTATTCCAAAATGCAAATGAAAGCTCAACAACATAGAACAAACTAGGAACCACAAGTACAAAGTGCAACGTCCAAATGGCAGTTATTTTACAGAAATGAATGAAGGTGGGTGTTGCCTACGTACGTCTGAGTACTATGATCGTAGCGGTGTTGCCGAATAAATATGCAAGTTGTCGTAATTTTCATCTGTTGTTCGATGTTCAGCAAAATAATCCGCGCTTCGTTCTCCTCGAAACGGTTGACGAACGAAATGTGTTTCTTTTATCAATTTCCAGTCGATGAATCTTCTAAATAAACAATGTTCAAACGCTCGCTGTTCGAATAAGGCTTTGTCGCAGATATTCGGTCAACAATTTAATTCTGGCAACACGGAATCGAAGCTTGGCGATCTCTTCACCCAATTTTCGGATCTTTTGCCGGGTCTAGCCGTGTTTAGTAGTCGGTGATTAACCTGCCATATTACAACTACAACAGCTGAAAGAAGAAAAAATAGTGGCAAGTGGATTTTACTTGGTGCTTCTCAACCATTTACCTATGCATTTTTAAATTTTCCATAAGTCAAATAAAGAAAATGTTTGAGCTCCTTAATCAAATCTCGACTTTTGGTTTTCCTTTTCCGTCTTAGGAGGTTAAGGGATGATTTTTCCTTGAAAGGTTGATGACATATTTAAGAATAAACAATTTTCTTTAAAAGGAGGTAGAGCCCTTTTTATTACTTTTAAGGGAATTCATACGATCCTATTTGGCAACATGGCTGTGACGACAAGAATTGTAAAATAACGACCAAATACAACATATGACTGGGCATCTTCTTGGAGAATATACTATTCAGTGCATTCCGTTCAATTTCGTTTAATCATCCAACATATTGAACTGGGCTTACATCACAGAGAGTAGTAAATCTGCTGAAATATCTCAATGGTAACGTCGCAAATTATACGTCTGTCATTGTGCGAGATACGTTTGCACCTGATGATTTGATCTGTTATTGAAATAAAAAAGTTTTGTTTGATTTTAGGCTAGAGACATCATTGGATGGGTCAATCTCACCTACTCAGTCAGTTCGATCTTCATCTCAACCAGTGATACCAACGGTCTTAGCTCCAGAGGAAAAATATGTTAGTTCACCGCCTAAACATTGTAGACCCATCACACCAAAACCTCCTTTAGAAATACCTGCAGAATCTAACCCTTCCCCCCGAGTACAGGTAAGAGATTTCTTAGTCTTCAAGCACCCGGTTATCATGGATCTCTTGAGTCACAAAATATGTGAACTTGATCTTGCAGGCAAGGGTCATATTTAACTAACCCTTTGCCTCGAGTACATATAAGATTTTCTCATTCTAAAAGTGATCAAAAGTGCCTTTGCTCTTCAGATGTTTAAAAGTTAACAAAACGGCCTTGAAATCTGATATTGGTCTAGCAAGAACGGTCATATCATTTTTTTATTAAAATCCTGCTCATTCCATGTTCAGGGTCAAAAGAGAGAATTTATTAAGATGTCCTTCAAAATGTACAAGATTACTAACCTACGGAATCGTAAATTCGTAAATGCATTCTGTCATCAAAATTCTGCTACTGTGCTGTTATGAGTGATGAATATGAAATTCGCTTCTAATTAGCACAAGTTCACTCGCATTGAACAATGCCTTAATATCAAAGAAGCATCTATGCTTGTTATCAATGTACAACAGGAAGAATATAGGACCCAATACTGAGCCCTGTGGAACTCCGATGGATAGTTCTCTTTCCTGAGACACCACTTCTCCCACCCTGACTACCTGGGTTCTGTTGGTAGTTTTTGTGTTATTCTTTCACCATATTATGCGATTTCTTTTACAGGACACAAATATAGAGTTTTTCAATAACAACATTCCAAAAAATTGTACAATAGTGCAAGCTGGCCATTGCAAGCCTTACCATGAAGAAACGAAACCTTTTGAAATGTCAGACTTTTACAAGTATTCAACAAAGTTCAAAAAGTCACCTAGCAAAGTTGAGACGGATGGGCCGAGCAGATTGAACCAAAACGTTGGGACCGGTGCCAGTGCAAGAAGTTTGACTGAAAGGTTTGATGATTCTACAGGCCAATACTCCCCAAAGTTGCAATATAGTAACAGGTAACAAGGCATTACGTACTGCTTTGCATAGAGTGTCCCAAAAAAATAATGTTCTTTTTTCAAACGCTTACCCTCTAATTTTGCTTGAACAATGTCAAAACCATTGTAAATCAAGTTTTATGTACCTAGAACTGGGGCAACCCGTGCCGAGTTGCGGTGGAACATGTCAAAACTTGTATATTAGGCGAGCGCTAGCGAACGTATTGCAGTGCTCGTTTGTTATATAAGTAAACGCACTGTTTTCGTTCATTCAACATGACGAACGAATTACGCAGTTCTAAAAAAGGAATGTAAAGCATCAAATTACCTGTTCAAAACTTCCCTCTAATGGTACAAGTACTAGCAGTTTGTTCTATAATGTCCGGGAAGTGAAAGTAAGTGTCAGTCATACCGCCAACCTTACTATACGTGAGTGCATTATTTAGTGGAAAAAGGCATGTATTCCTACTAAATATCTACCCAACTGTGTTAAGAAGGCGTGTTTGAATCAAAGATCGACCATGTGACTACAAGCCCTGACATTCCAGTGCTTAAAAAAGTTTCGCGAGAGCTGGAAAAGTGTGGATCCCGAGAAAATACAGATTTATACTGAAAAGCTATCATGCCTGAATATTTCAGATACTGTCAAGCTGCTAGAATTGTATCGACATGAATTGACCAAAGGAGTTGCTAGAGACGACTATCAAGAATTAATACAACTTTCAATGATATTTCTTGGCGGAGATACAGAGAAAAAATTAAGATTCGAGACAGGCGCCATGCATCAAGCTCGATGAATGGCCTGAGCAGTCTGTTCATTGAAAATAGCGTTAGTAAGTTTCCAGCTCAAACTTTCTAATAAGGATATGGCAGCTCTGTTAGATATCTGAATGTTCATCGTGACAACATACGTAAACCGTGGTTGCAATGCACTTTAGCGGTAAAAGCACCTAACCAGGATTTAAGCGTTTTAAAGGCAATGAGGGCTTACGAAAGAATTGATAAAACCATTTTAAAAGCAGCTTTACCAAAGTTCTTCCAACATTTATGGTATTTGAAATATGAGGTCTCTGTCTTATTTCTGATTGACGACGACGTAGATGAGAAATTGGATAACTCTCCAGGCAACGAGCAGGCTCAGGCAGTTTGGGATGCTATTATTGACTGGAATCTTCAAGATAAAGTTCAGATACTCTGTTGTGATACTGCTGCTTCAAATACGGGTTCCATTAACATTGCCTGTATGCTTTTACGAATAGAAACTTAATAACGAAATGCTTATTTTTGATTGCCGCCATCACGTCTACGAATTGGTGTTAAAGACGTCTTTGAATCAAAGATCGACCAAGTAAGTACAAGCCCTGACATTCCAATATTTAAAAAGTTTCGCGAGAGCTGAAACAGTGTGAATCTCGAGAACATACAGATTTATACTGAAAAGCTATCATGCCTGAATATTTCAGAGACTGACAAGCTGCTAGAATTTTATCGACATGAATTGACCAAAGAAGTTGCTAGAGATGACTATCGAGAATTAATAGAACTTTCAATAATATTCCTTGGCGGAGATACAGAGAAAAAATTAAGGTTCGACCGCCAAGCGCCATGCATCAAGCTCGATGCATTGCCAGAGCAATCTATTCATTAAAAATAGCGTTACTCGGTCCCCAGCTCAAACTTTCTAATAAGGATATGGCAGCTCTGTTAGATATCTGTCTGTTCATCGTGACAACATACGTGAAATCGTGGTTGCAATGCACTTTACTGGTAAAAGCAACTAACCAGGACTTATACGTTTTTAAAGGCAATGCAGGCTTACGAAAGAATTGACAAAACCATTTCAAAGGCAGCTTTACAAAAGTTCTGCCGGCATTTATGGTATTTGGCAGATGAGGTCTCTGTCTTATTTCTGTTTGTCGACGACGTATATAAAAAAACTAAAGTAAAAATTGTTGCTAATTTAGCCAAAGAAAGTCCATCAGCCCACGGCATACGCTACATTCCATCGTACGAAGAACTTTCTGGTCCACGTTATGGTAAGTATGACGAATAGATGTTCCTTTGTCTTCTTTTACTGCTTCGATATAATATGCTAACTGTTAAAATAAGCCAGCATAAACTGCGATCCTGGCAATAGATGGCACCTTATACTGTCTTGTTTCGATATATCTTATACCTCAGATAGAGGTTAATTGCTATGCTTTCGTTCGTTGTTCTAACCTGAAGCCAAGCCTAGGCTGATAAGTTGCCAAAACGCACAAAACATCTGCCCATGGTTGACTGTCAGTGGTCGGCCGGACAAAACCAGTATGTGTACATGTTAGCTATTTATCGTTTTTTGATTTCAGAGAAAAATATGGATGACTTTGTTTCAATCAAAAGCAAGTCCTTGTTCAGTCGACTCAAAATTTCTCTACGAGTGCCCAACTTCATGGCCACATAACGATTCTTTTCAACACGCTAAGAATAAGGTGCAAACACAGCGCAGTTAACGACACTACAGAAAGAGCAGTCAAGTTCATGCAAGACTTCTATGGCTCAATTACTGCTGATGAGGAACAAAAACAATTTTTATTATGTTGCGTACAAGAACACAGGCAGGAATATCCTGAAAATATAGTGAATAATGTTCTTGTAAGAAATATAAGATACAAATAAAGCAGTGTTTTATTTGTCGAATAAGAATTAGGTTTTGAAATCCATACATGGTTTCCTTTTTAACTTTCAAATTTAAAGTTTGACCGAAAGTCGGCACAGGTTATCGTTCCCCAATCACAATAATATTTATTTTCTGAGAAAAAAGATAGAAGATAAGCGTATCTCAATTTGAACCAAAATGCGTTTGGCCCCATAGACTGGTACAACCTAGTGGGTACTTTATAAAAATGTAAACAACTTAGCTGCGCGCTATTTAATTGCCATATAGGTGCGTTTACATATGAGCATGCACGCACTGAGCATACGCGCACGTATTCGTTCGCGTGTGTGGAGAGTGTTTAAGCTGTCGTTCGGGTACGAGGTTAACATGGAGAATAGACATATAGCCGCGGCAACATTTATTATACTGCATAAATTAATTAAAATAAAAGAAAATCGGAAACGAAAGGAATTAGTATTAAACAGTCTGTATGATCAATTCAGAAATTTTACAAGAATGACCAAGGCTGACTTTGAATACCTGTTTACGTTGGTAACACCAACGATAATAAAAATTGATACACAGTTTCGAAAATCTATATCACCAAGAAAACGTTTGGCCATAACCTTACGTTTTTGTGGCAACTGGAGACTCCTACAGCAGCTTGCAGTATCTTTTCAGACTGTCAAAATCTTCATTTTGCTTTTTTTCTCGAGACGAAATGATCCCATCAGACTTTTAATTTTTTCTGTGCTTCGCAATAGTATTACTAGTTGTTTCCATGCACCATTTTTTTTCGATTTTGAAAAAATAAAAACCGTTCTATTGTCTAACAAAATTATTATTAATTTAATTGGAAACATTAAACACATTAGGGGTAATGAGCTACAACAACTGACAACATAAACATATCATTAAAACCAACGAAATGATTACAAAAAACGTTGAAAATGGTCTCCTTCACTTAGTATGCATGCTTCCGCCCTCCTTCTCATGGAATTGCGCACTCGTTGAAATATCCCTGGAGTGTTTTTTATTCTATCACAAGCTGCAACTATTCTTTCTCTTAATTCCTCTACAGTGTTAATGGGACTCGTGTACACTAGTGTCTTAAGACACAAAGAGAAATCTAAACTGTTGAGGTCTGGGGACCTTGGTGGCCAATCCAACGATTTGGATAAACAGTTTGTAAATAATTACGAACCGCTACACTGAAATGCGCTAATGCACCATCGTGCATGTTTCTTATTACTAACGGAACATCATCAAGCAGCAAAGGCAACTGTTGTTGAAGAAAATTGAGGTAAGTCTCTCCGTCAAGTCGTCCCGGCAAGAATAATGGGCCAATAAAGTGATTGCCAATAATTCCTGTCCATACGTTAACCGAAAATAGGTGTTGTAAATGGGTTTCGATTACGGCATAGGGATTTTCTTCTGCCCACAAATGATTATTGTGGAAATTCTGAATGGCATTTCGAGAAAAATTAGCTTCGTCCGTGAACAGAATCATTGATTCAAATTTCGGATTTTGTGTAATTTTTTGAAGATATAATATATGGGAAGTAATGACTGTACTTAAAATATGGTAAGGATATAACAAAAAATCCACTAAAATTCTCCAAACAATTTGATGGCAAATATTTAAGTGTCTAGCGATCTTCCTCGTACTCGTTTCAGGATGTTCTTCGACTTCGTGCAGCGCTGCTTCCTCAATTTCAGGTGTTCTCACACTTAGAGGTCTACCTTCAGATGTTCCTTTTCGGACAGAACCAGTTTCAACAAGACGACGATGAATATTAGAAAAGGTTCGACTATCTGGCAAAGCACGATCGGGATATCTCTCGTGATAAATCCGTCTGGCTTGCTCACCATTACCGTCGGCATTATTAACAAGATTGTAAAAACTAAATAATGAAAAAGATCTCACAGCGAACAGATTTGAATAACAGAGACTTGTCAGATGTCAAAAGCCAGTGACATATCCCAGAGCAACTAGATATTTATTGCTAAATTGCATTCTTCAATTATTACATTAATTTTCTCGGACAATAGAACGGTTTTTATTTTTTTACTCAAAAATGGCGTATCGAAGGAAAACAATTCGAGAGAGATAATTTGTTTCAAATTGAACGGGGAATTCAAAGATAATTTTTATTTGACAAAAAAACATTGGCGTACCATTTTTTCTTAAAAAATATCGAAGTCAATACCCGTACGCACGCCACTGTTAAAGCTAAAAATTATTTTCGCATTGAAAAATATGCAACATTATTAACTTCACTACGTAATATCAGTGAAATATCTGAAGCGCTTCTGAAATTTTTTTTCCTAAAACTTCAACGCCCCGAGTTTTTGTAAGGAAACATTTTTGGACCATAAGAGATTTTTTCGCGAGATCCCGTAGTGAAGGGAGCAGGAACAGATGGAATTTCCTCTCCCTCTCGAAGTTTTGACAGTTTCAAGGTACAGCGGGAGTGGTTAGATGGCGCATGTTGCGCAAAATGTTTGGTTTAAGCTCCTTGATAAACTCAGCTGCCTTGTTTGAATCAGTAATAAAAAGACCGATCGTTTTTTGTGCAATGTACATATATATCAATAAAATCAATCATTTGATATGACAAGTGCGGTTCATATATCTTCGATGACCTTCTCCCTCGTCATTTAAAATCAGGTGGACGTGTTCCTCCACTTATGATTTAATAATTTAACACAATTTTCGGCACTGCCAAGACAAATTTTCAATTGAGATGTCTAGTTTTTTAAATGACATTGACATATGACCTGTCACCCGCTAGTACCTCTCAGACGTTAGGCGGGTACCCGCACCACGTGATTTTTTGACATTCGGATGACATCACATCAGTCTTCCCCTATTCTCGTTCTTCGCGAAAATTTGATTATCGGTTCCCGGTAGTGCACTGTACTACACCGTGGACTCGCGAAAAAAGCCTTATAGTTTATAAAGCAAACTAACATTAATTTTGCATGTAGATTCACACCCTTAAATATTCGCATATCATTAAGGAACACCCTGTATAGAAACATTAAAAAAGTGGATATTCCAGTCTTTCAGTAAAGATTAAGTGAAAACGATTCATTCATATTTTTGGACCGTTCCAATGAATTCCACTACTCACAAATGCATTCTCCCAGAACTAACATTATAAGACACTAATTTCAACTGTCAATTCCTCAATATTAAAACAAAAATATTTATGTGGAAATTGGTTGAAAAATCTAGCATGTTGTGAAAATAGTAGTTACTGTAAATCGTAGTTTGGCGATTGTACACTTAACATAACCACGTATTTAGGGATTACAGCTTAACGTGTACACGACAGTGTAATATGTAATTCTGCATTAAAAAAACCTTGGATGGGGACTTTTTATATGGAAATTCATTTTTCCAAAATACTATTTTCCAGCAGTACCTCGCCGTCAAATATCAACACAGAACAAGTGACGTTGGAGAATAGACCACAGAAGATTGATTATCGAGCACAGGACGGAATGGATTCGAATTTTGACACCTCTTGAGTCGCCATATTTTGCCACCTGAGAGGTGTGTGGTCACATCGTGGTTGACTGCGATTTGAAATATATTAACATGTGAACTATACACGTTAGAGCTAAACAGTTTTATGACATTGAAAATTAAAAAAAGTAAAAAGGTATATCTGCTTAAAATGAGTTAATAAATAATAACATAAATAACAAATAATCAAAAACAACAAATGAACAAAATCAGTAACTGAAACAGTATTTGATAAAACAACATAATAAATGAAATATGTATATACAGGGTGGCGCATCGAAAACGAAACAGACGCATTTACTGGCAGCTCAGTTTATTTTTTGAAAAACGCTCAGACCCGTCGATTTTTGTTTTCGAGGGGAACACAAGTTTGGCAAAAAATCACGTTGGCACGTGCAGCCCCTCTAAGCCATTTTCAACATTTACTTGCCTAACGGGTAAGTTCATTCTTCATTTTTAAATTACTTTGCTGCCAAATGTATTGATCTCCAGTAATGATGATGTATTAGTTTTATTTAAGCTTTAAATCAATAAATCTTTAAAACTACTGAACTGAAGTACATTAATCTTATATCATTATAAAGGGAATTGAAAGACCTTTAAAATAAGGTATCACTCGACCCCCCTTTCCATTTAAGATTTTGGGGGTGGTGTCACCCCCGCTTAGGGCTGCACGTGCTAACGTGATTTTTTGTCAAACTTGTGTCCCCCTCGAAAACAAAATCGACGGGTCTGAGCGTTTTTCCAAAAAAAACTGAGCTGCCAGTAAATGCGTCTGTCTTGTTTTCGATGAGCCACCCTATATGTATATAAAACAGAATTTTTATATCTTTTTATTTTTTTTTTTCATTGTAATAAGATTGCTGAGCTCTAACGTGTATGATTCACATGTTGATATACTTCAAAATCAGTCAACCACGATGTGACTATACTATACACCTCTCAGGTGGCGAAGTATGGCAACGCCGCGCATCCATTCCAACCTGTGATCGATAATCGATCTTCTGTGGTCTATTCTTCTTCTCCAACGTCACTGTAGTCTATGTTTTGTGGTCACTTGTTGTGTTATTTGACGACGAGGTATTTGTGAAAAATGGAATTTTGGAAGAACAAATTTCCGTATAAAAAGTGCTCTGTCCAAGATCTTTTTTGTGCAGAATTACACAGGGCCGTATGCTCCGCTGTTCGATTTTCGACCGCCGGCGCGCATGACGTCGCGCGGAGAGTGATTATCATTTGGGTTGATATGGATAACGTGCATATTTTCACCTACAGGCCAAACGGTTGGGCGGATTTTCACATATGAGGTGTCGTTGGATTCGTCTTAGCGGTGCTAGTGACACTAGCTACATTGAAATTTTATAAGAAACCAAATGGTGGATTTTAATAAAAGATTCCTACTTCATAGGCTACAGATCAAACGGCTTGATAGATTTTCACATATGAGGTGTCTTTGGGTTCGTCTTAGTGGTGCGAGTGACTCTGGCTACATTAAAATTTTATACAAAACAAAATGGTGGATTTTAATAAAGAATTTCAAACCTGTAATTCCTATTTCACAGGCTATAGCTTAAACGGCTTCTAGCTCCACAATAGAGCGTCGTCTCTTCGCTGTAAAAACAAGATAACTCCATTTTTCTACACTACCTATATTTTAGTATGTTCTGTTGAGCAGGATTCACATGTTCATGTCATAATACTGTACTACATTTATCCTTATTCCACAGAACATCCTAAGTACATGTAAATGTGACAATTTTGGCTCAATTTTATATAGTTTCATAATATTTAATAAACTTATAACATTTCATTGACAAGCTATCACTTCATATTCTACAGTGTTTTGTTTTGAATACTTTGATGCTATTTGCTGCCAAAAATCTGACGAAAAGATCTTGAAGCTGATTGGGCATATTTGACGGTCTGTTTGGTACTCGTACCCTATTGGTGGCAAATAATGGTTTGTTAGATTGTGAAATCGGCCCTAAATACAATCAACGCTTTAATCCTGTGCGCCGCGGTGTCGTTTCCGTCCACACTGAGCATTCGCGAGCCCATTAATTCCTCTGAGCAAGGTCTTGAGACCGACAACAGGCGGATCGCGTTCGCTGTTGCTCGCGCACTTGAAGATACAGGGTGAGCGTGCGCGCATAGCCGTTTACACTTGCGCATTCACGGTGGATCAGTGCGTGCGTGCTCAGATGTAAACGCACCTTATGACAGCAAGACTTATGCCATGGCGTACGTTTTTTTCTTGACCCTGGGACCAAGTAATTTGATTGTTTCTTTTCGTTGCAGTACAAATATGTCACCAAGCGCGGACAATTCTGGTAGTCTGAACACCAGCTTAGACCTAGCTGTGTCTGAGAACTTCTCAGCAGAAATGGATGCCTGGTATAAAGATCAACAGCAGAACAATAATCCACCTGGAAATTCAGGCAAGAGTAGGTCTACAGCAACATTAGTGTAGTGTATACATATGTCGATGCGATATATGTTGAAGAGGTTTTTTTTTGTTATTGAAGCGTGATTAAAAAAACGCAGAAGCATATGAAATTTCCTTATCAGGGTCATAGATACAAAAAAGAAAATATACTTCATCTATATTTTTTGTTATATCCTAGGAACAGGGTTTTACAGCGATTTCCATGGAAACTCTGCATATTGTCCAATTAATGTAAGTTAAATATTTTATATTTGCAGGATCACATAAGAATTAATGAATCTAATTGGGTTATAAATTTTGAAGATTTTTTTCGAGATCTATGAAAAGTTGAGTTGCAGTTTGATGTCTATTCGACTATGTTTTCTTATCGTTTTATCCAATACATTACTGGTTATAAGTCCTATTCGGCGTTCGAGAAGCTGGCCATACACACACACTCTTTCGCGCGGAGATTCTGTGGCTTCCAAAAAACTTGCATAAAATCTTTTGTGATAGGGGTCATCGCTACACGCCATGATAAAACGGAAAGGAATTTTAGCCGTTCTTTCGTCTTGAGTGGCGCGTACTTGAGGCCACTTACAAAACACCGCGCGTTAGGCTACATCCGACAAAGCCGGATTCTACCTGAGGATAAAAAAAAAGTGATCTGAAATATTCTACCGTCATCTGTGAAGCAGTAGCAGAACACAAACATGGATTTAAAAATCTACTTTGGAAATGAAGTATTTGTTTCTGCTAGTGTCTCACTGGCATTAGGATTTTCAATCCTTTTTTGGCGGTTCTCTAATGCCCATTTTAATTAGGTATCTTTAGGCATTGAAAAAGAGATTGAAGATCCTAGCATCATCTATGAGACGATAGCAGAACTAAAATTCTAGCTCTGTTCGAAGTGTGTTTGTAAAATCATTTTATTATTCTGTGACTGTCTCATAAATAGTAGTATCTTTCAGGTCGCTTTTGCTATGCTCATATGTTCGACTATAGCGCCATTAAACCTTTTCACATTAAATTTCTGTTGATTGCGGAAAAGAGAAACAGCAGTGAAAAATTCTCTTAAATGACTCCAGGATATGTCATCTCGGATAATTTCTTAGACGCCAGAATATACTATTAGGATTTTCATTCCTTTTTTGGTACCTTTAGGCATTGAAAAACGGAACGAAGATCCTAGCACCATCTATGAGACGGTAGCAGAACTAAAAACACTAACCCTTTTTTCAGAAGTGTGTTTCTAAATTCATTTTCGAATTCTGTTACTGTGTCATAAATAGTATATTTCCGATCCCTTTTCACATTAAATTTCTAATAATTGCAAATAAGCGAAACGGCTGTGAAAAATTGTCATAGATGACGCCAGGATATTTCATCTCGGAAAAATGTTTAGATGTCGGAATTAGGTTGACTATTTTGAGGTAGATCACGTTAGTCAATGGTAAAAGTAGATGATATAGGAACTCGAAATACTAAAAATTTGTAAAATAAGTGAAAGATTGGTCTCAATGAAATAATCCGCTGTTTTCTATCAGATATATCAAATTCTAGTTATTAGAGTGGAACTACATAACATAAAATAAAAATTACATACTACAAACTCACCCGACATGTCTAACTTGTTGCAGCAGTTACGCCTCTGGATAGTTTCAGCATTTTTGAAGATTATTTTTTATGTTAATCACTACAATGATTTTGCCGGATTTCTCAATCTTTGATTCCTTCAAATAAACTCTGACTACGGTTATACATTTTGTGGTCATGAAACTAGGCCATTAAACAGGCCTTTCAAAATTTCTCCAAAATCCAGTAATATTTTCCAAGTTATAGAAGGACGAATGATTAAATTAGTTTTTTAATTCAACTAATCTAAATTTTTGTAAGGTGCCTCCCTTCCTTTTTAAGCTGGGTGCGCCCTTTTGACGCGAAAGAGGACGCGAGTATATGGCCAACTTATGCAAAGATATGCTTTAAACTAGTTTGATCAGGTGGTATGATACATATATCGTGGTAGAAAAATGAAGGAAAGTTATTGATTTAACTTTATTATTAGGTTTAGGCAAGGTGATTTTGATGAAAAAGAGAATCATTTTTCATAAAATTTGTCACATACTTATCTGAAGTATCTCGTACTAACTGTAGTAATAACGGGTGCTCTTTTAGAGGTATGGAATGTTGAAATAAAATAAAAACACTTATAAAGTTTACGATTTTATTGAACTACGCATCAAAATTTATATGAACTTTGTATGAGGTTACTAGATTATAAATTTATAATTTCGGAACGATTTGCTAATGTTATATTTCTAGACAGAAAAATGCTCTCTACTTGATGTTAATTTGATCTGTAATGTATTTAAGCCCCATTTACGCCCGTCAAAACAAAGACCAGTGTGCGACCATCAAAATCGCGCTTCTGTTATATTGGCAAGCAGGCCATAAATGCTTGGGTAAGGCAATAAAAGCAGCGATCGAGTACTTATGTTTGACTTTATGGCGGGTAAGTTGGATTTGAATACACTATAGTTTGCCAAGTTGCGTCGGCGATATTTTCAACGTTCTACATACTTGAACAATCGATGATTTATTCCTAGTGTATTTCCTCTAAAAAACACTCGATATTTCTTCAAATGACTATAAAAATTTGTCAGAAGACTGAAAAAAGAATATTGCACTTTTAAATGTTGCTATGTTTGTCTAGAGTTGTGAATAAGAATGTTAGTATTTTTATATCGTCCAGCGACGGTGTTTTGTAAATTAGAGTTTTTATTATACCACATATCACAATACTAATAAAAAGTGTAGTAGTATAGTCTCAAAGTACTTTATCAATTATTGTAAAATTGCAGATTTAAATAATCAGTGGATTATGGAAACAACACTCTGGTACTGTTGAGGCAATTTTTATACTGTTCCGCTGTCTTGTTAAATTTTTATATCCACAATATTGCACTTTGAAATGTGTTGTTAATGAGTGCCTTGTTTAGAATGTTAATTAAATAAAAAATATTTTCGTAAGAAATATGTTGTCTATATATTTTTATATATATTATATATAAAATTAAGGGAAGCAAAATTGATGATTATTGATAGTTACGTACAGAGCTTAATAAAAATACTCATGTTTTGTGAAAGTTACTTGGATTTTAAGTTCATCGTGTCTATGCATTTTTTCCATTGCATTGCAAATTTGAAACAATACACAATTATAATGAAAATTTAAATTGTTCTTATTGTGAGCGCAGTTGCAATCATATCTCTTGTAGAAAAATGGTGTAAAAAATATAAAATGGGTGCATTTTGAACGAAAATACCGAAATTGTGGAACTTGGGCCAAATAAAAATAAATGCATAAGTTTCAATAGACTCGGTCTGAAATATTTAAATGCTAAATTTGATTGATCCGGTCAACTTGAAATTTGATTTGTATTCATTTCCCAAAAAACTACATACGGACCTCAGTCCTTTGTTTTTCGGTTGCAAAAAATCTAGTGACGTCACAATTATCGATAGTGCTTCGTTTAAATAAACATGTACAAAATAATGTAAATACTTTACATTTTTATATAGATATACTATATAGCTGGCATATATGGAAACGTTTCAAGTTTTAACCACAACTTAGTTTTGAATTTGTATATTTTTTCTTCACATTGAAAACCACTGTGTGAAAAAATCATATCCTTTTAGCATATGATCTCAAGATAGACTTGTGAATGTGATTTTATTATTTTGTTTTTGACACTCAAAGTGTACATACAAGGGTGGACTTACACGTCATGCAACGCTACTGTTTTTATGGGGTTTTAAAACTCATGACTATTCAAAATGAACAGAATCAACGCTTCATTTTGAAGTTTGGTTTTATAAAAAATCATCATGTATATTTAGATGAGTCTTTGATTTGACGAAGTTTTCAAGCTATGAGAATGCCCATCCTCAGTATTTTTTAGACTATGAATTGTAGATAAAAATTACTAGGGGGCACATCGTCAGTCGTTCCTACAATTGTAGGACGCCTTTATGGCCTCCTTGATTTTCATAGTCTTTTCTCTCCTTTAGAAAGGCTGGGGTATTTCTAGATTTCTACTGTCCCGTGTCAGCGTTAGCGCTCTCATATTGTGAAGTCATGTTTTCTTTTTGGATTGTAGAAATTTATTAATAAATCAATTTGATGCAAATACATATTTGTGAAATAACCTCAAAATAAAGCGCTGACACGGAACAGCAGAAAACTATGGAAATCAATGAGACCATAACAATTGTAGGAAGGACTGACGATACGACGCTAAGAACCTTCTTTGTTCAGCAAAAAAATAAATTTTTTATAACTTGTTTAAAAATACGGATTTATTTGACGTCAAATTCCTGTTAAATTTGGTCAAGAACTCGATTCATGAAGAAATCCATGGATTTATTACACCCTTATATCAAATACACTAAAAACCATACTTATAAGACGGCTCGAGTTCAATGTGTACGAGATAGAAGTATGTGTAGGCACACATATTAGAAATAGATGGAAGCCTGGTGCATAGCGAAGCTCATCGCCACGTTGCTAAGCAATGCAGATGCGGCAATATGCCGCGTTGCCAATATGTTACACCAGTTCCTTGAATTAATTCGAATATTGAAAATGTGTGTTACTTTATACTTTACGCCCAAATAATGGTTTTATTTTGAGCGTACAGATTTCTGAATCGTGTCGAATTTATTTATTATCTATTCCGGATCGGTCCTAAGAGCGCTCCATTTTAGGTCTAAATGAAAGGTCAGGATCGCCACAAATTCTGCAACATTGCATTGCTTCGTTTGTAGATTCCAAGGCAAGGTTTCCACCTCCATGATCATATTTGAGCTTTGAAATGTCTTTCACCTGCATACACGCAGACAGTGATAATTTGCATTGCGTAACGTTTTTTGTTACATTTTCCGGCCGCAGCGCTGTCGCAAAATGTAACAATAACTCAGGATGTGTTGATTTTATCAAATATAATTCTAAAATAAATTGAAACACTAAGTCGCATCAAAATTGAAATGAATAATTCTAATCAAAATGAAAACAGAATATTAAATTAAATGTTCCGTCTTGGGTTTGACAATAGCCTAACTTATTGTAGCAGCCTGTGCGGACATGTTCTGGTGTAACATATTGGCAACGCGGCAGATTGCACGCCCGTCACCGTTGCTAGGCAATGTGGTGATGACCTTCGCTGACCAGGCGGCTTCTAGCTGTTTCTAATGTGTTGATACACAGTTCTATCTCGTACGCATTGAACTCAAGCCGTCAGACAAATTTGGTTTTCCCTGTATAAAATTATTAAAGAAAATCTATTCAGAAGATTAATCTTCAGGTTTCAATCCAAACCAAAGTATTCTTGTGGGTTTGATTAAACGATTTTGAAACAAAATAAAAGAGTTTTATATTATATAAGGTCTTTTTATTTACCCAATACTCTTCTTTGCCACAGAGGTCAGGCAAGTATTGTGCAGAATCAGGCACAACATACTTGGAGACGTAGTACTCCAAGCAGAAGACCTGAACGATATTTCTCCAAACAAGTTAATCGACTTCCTCATGAGGTCGGAGCTACTGGGGAAAATATAAATAGGCGTGAGCCACAATAGACCAAAGAGTCGCAGTGGAGGATCGTTATTTATGCACTCACAAGAAACCTAACATAACCTTTGCCATAGAGCCCAAAAAATTTGCTAGACAAATCAAATAAATGACTCAAGCTTCAAGTCAATTTCATGTTCAGAGCCGTCCTTAGCAGATGCGAGGCCTGGAGCAAAACATTTTTGCGAGGCCTTTTTTTAAATAGTAGTCTATTGGTAATATTTTCAAAAGTCTTGTGCAAAAAAGTATTTTTAGCATTTTGATGGTCATTTCACCTCAAAACACGCCATTTTTATTTACGTATTTTTTTTCTCATTTGCCAAGGTTGAGAATATTTTATTTTTGATGTAAGTATACAATATTTCACTCTGTGGAAAGAATTGAGATAAGAAAGAAATATGATTTATGACTATGGTTCAAACTCTTCCAGTTTAATTTTTAAGCAACGAATCATTAATAAAATTATTAGTTTTGCCAAGACATAAATAAATTCGTATCAGAAATCTTTTTTTGTAGTGAATAATCAATCGATAAATAAGCAAATCTTATAACAAAATATTCATATTATTTGCACATAGTATTATTTGTTTGTATTCTTAAGTGTAAATCTCCAAGGCAGCGCGCCGGCTAGCAGAGTCTCCCACCGGCATGCGCGGAGTTCGGAAAGCAGTCACCCCGGACCCCTATCACTATCAAACGATGTTTTGCAATTTTTATCACGATTATCTCGTTCGTGGGTTTTGTAATTAATCAATAATTTAACATATTGCGAGAGTAATCAGACATATATTTTAGGTACGTATATTTTTATAGCGAACGCTCCACCCTAAATACGGCGCTGTTCAGGTTGATGTTTGTGCACCTCATTTCACGAATATCCATCACGGAACAATGACAGCTAGTTATCTAGTGATATTTCAAAATTCCCCATATCGGCACAGGACATAATTCTGACGGATCCGTCAACGTCAGGTAGCCAGAGCTGTATTTTCTTTTAGTTTTTTTGTGCTCTACATTTTGTACTTGCTAACAGCTCTTTTAGTTAGAAAGATCATTTGCAAAAAACAAAACGCTACAAATAAGTTTTTCTAGATTTACACGCGATTCACTAATGCCAACGTCGCAGACTATCACAAAAATGTGATGAATTCTCGTGAAATATGGTTCACTAGCAAAAGCCCCATTAACCCTAGAAAGGTTACAGGGGTACTAAAGTACCCCACGTGATCATTCATTTGACGGTATTTTTCTAATGCTAAGGTTGGCAACTTTGAGCGTCTAGCTATTCTAGCGGTTAAGCTCAACATCTTAACGCATGTGATCATTTATACGCAAGTTCTGTTACTGAGAAAAAGGTAAGTAAGGATACTCAAATACCTCAGTAACCATTTCTGATTATAAAGTTTTAATTGTATAATTTTTTTGAAGCGGAAATGTCTCAAGTGAAATATGTATACAGATCCAAATTTTGGGGAGACAACGTTGGTTTAGAGTAATCGATACACCCTATTTCACGAGTTTCCATCACGGGACAATGACAGCTCGTTATCTAGTAATATTTCAAAATTCCCCATAACGGCACATGACACATAATTAATTCCGAGGGATCGGTGAACTCCAGCTAGACAGACCCGTATTTTGTTGTGGTTCTTTGTACACTCGAAAGGCCTGTTATCGAAAATCGTCAGCCATTTATTATAAATTTAGTTGGGTCTGATGAGGATAGTGCAGATAGTTATTTTAGTGACTAGCGTAGTGGGATTGCGTCTAATGTGTGTACTAGCCCCACAATTACTTTGAAATGACACGAGTCTGCAACTATTTAATTTGCAGGTTGATATATTGTGCAAGACCAATTCCTTTTACATCATTGTGGTATTTCAAACAAGCTGTATTCATTATTAATTTTTATGATAGATTCTGCACATACTTAATCTGTAATTGAATTACGTTACACTGATGACGGACAATAAACCAGAAACGCGTGCCTATATTATTTTTACAGGTAAATTTATAGCTTCTGGAAAGAACTACGCAACCTGTCCTATTGACATACCATGTAATCAATAAATCCCAGATATACTATAATAATTTTTTAATAAACTTTTCTATATCTGTGCTTGTACATTTTATTGTCACATTTCCCACCCACTCAAAAATATAATCCTGATATGTGAACAACAGCTCTGAATACGGTCCCGAAATTCATTATTGCCAACGTTACAAATTAACTCAAAGATATCCATTTTGTGATCAGCTGTTCACCTCAAAGCGTGATGGATACTCGTGAAATAAGGTGTAGTGAAGATGGAGAAAATGTTATTGAATGTGGGGATAATCTCAAAATTCTATCTGAAAAGGGTAGCATAATCTCATTGGACGAAATTTCAGAAAGTGAAGATGAGGATAATTTGCAAGCTATGAGTGGTTTTAGGTGGAGCATGAATGAACCACTTAAAACTAAAACTGCTTCTCGAAATATAGTAATAAAATTGCCTGGAATAAAAGCCCAAAAAATATTGCAAATGAATTAACAAGCATGGCAAACTCTTTTTCTAACTCCTATGATTGACAGCATTGTCATTTAAAAATTTATAGACAAAAAGATAAGTACAAGCATGCTAGGTTTGTTGATCCTACTGACTCAGTGGAAATATTAGCTTTGATAGGACTTTTAATACACGTGCTCGGAGAGACGAGCTCTAAGATTTCTTTTATTATTATTCAAATTTTTAATAAATTGTCTGAGGTTTGATGACAAAAATGTAAGAAATCGTGACGATAAATTTTCGCCAATAAGAGAGTTTTGGAATTTATTTCTCGCAAATTGCACGGAAAGCTATACACCTCATGCATATTGCACAATTGACGACCAGTTGCTTGGATTTAGAGGACATTGTCCATTTCGTGTATATAAATATATCATCTAAACCGGACAAATATGTACTTAAAATAGTAACAATATGTGAGAGAAGAACGTTTTTTATGCTCAGTGCAAGTCCATATACTGGAAAGGAAAACAGAGTTATAGAAGAACCTCTTGCGTCGCAATTGGTCAAATCACTAACAGCTTCAATTCACGGAACTTTCCGAAATATCACTATGGATAACCTTACCTTAATTAAATGGCAGATAACATGTTAAGAGACTATAAACTTACAATTGTAGGAACACTTCGGCATAACAAAAAAGAAATACCCCAAACATTCCTTCCAAACAGAAACAAAGATGTTTTGTCCTCACAATTTGCCTTTCATGAAAAAAAACTCTGGTTTCATTTACACCGAAAAGATCAAAGTCAGTAATATTAATTTCAACTATGCACTCAACAAAAACAATAAACGAGGAAACAAGAAAACCTGAAATAATGAATTTTAAAATTCAACAAAAGGCGGAGTGGGCACCTTTGATCAAATGGCGCATTGTTATACGGTATCACGAAAAACCAGAAGAAGGGCTTTGCGTTTTTTATGGCATGCTTGATCAAGCTGGCATAAATTCCATGCTATTGTTTGAGCTTGCGAGAAACCAAGACAAAACTGTTCAAAATTCCTGAATGAACTTGGACTTCAGTTAGCGCAAACAGATATGAAGAGAAGGCTCAATAAAACTTACCTGGAGAACTTCGAAAAGATATTGAAGACATATTGTATGAAAATTCTACATCAGAACCACCTATAAAGATTGTTAAAACTAGTAGGTGTTACTTGTGTACCAGATCATTGGACAGACAATCCAATCGCATGTCCATATCATCAAATTAAAGTGTGCGAAAACTGCCTAAATATTAATGATATATATTTCTTGTATAGTATGCAAATAAAGATAACTTTAAAGGAAGATATTATATTGATGTTTTTCTGATGGGGTATCCTAGAACACCATGAAACCGGCAGCATATGAAAGGTTCATGTAACCATTCTAGGGTTAGATACCTACCCGATACAGCTAAAACTGTAATTCCTACCCAAATTGTAGATAGTGCACTTAAATCGGTTCATCCGTTTGAAAGGCTGGGTGTTAACGGTCATTTGATCGAGGATTTGTCCTTTTTGTCAAAAATATTAAGTGTGTGTATTTTCTATAATACGGTAAATATGTTTTTTTTGTTTTGTTTTTTGGCAAATAAATGTATTTTGAATTTGAATTTGAAAACCGTCTGGACATGCTGAACTTACACGTCGTCCAAAGTTACCTACCCTAGATTAAAAAATGCAGTAAATCGGTTTACCGATTGGGAAGCTATGATGCCATAGAAAGATACACATGTAGACTTTTACATAATAGATAACACTTCTCGTCAAAAATAAGGTAAACTGTTATGACTATTAAGCCAAATTTTGACCTAAGGGGTCCCCAGTGAGACATGTTCTATGTCTCATATTCGGCAAATTACAACGTATACAAAGTTTTATTTGCTTGTAACAACGAGAGACGAAGATGTAAATGTTTTCTTATAAACATTTGAAGTCTCCTATGAGATGTTTTTCAAACACTACGTATGATTTGTAGAAAAACTCGTTTCCTGAATGGAAATAGAATCTTGAAAACCATTTGTTTTTGAGTAAATCGAGTGTTTTGAGCTCTGAGAAAGTTGCAAAATTCATTGACCTCTCATTACAGCGACAAGTAATCAAAAATAGCTGTAATTCCGTATATAGCGGAAAATTCTGTCTGTGTATGTTATTTATTTGATAAATAAATTCTGTAGATTGCAAAAACATATTTCCATATTACAAATCAGCAAAATAGCTCTCATTCACATCTCCTTGAACACCACAGAATCATATTTGTAAAACGGCGATTTGTATTTTCTCAAAAAAGAAGCATTACGAAATCCAAGGACAAGACATAGAGGTAGATAACTTTTGTATATTTTGTTTTCATATAATAAAAATAAGTCATTAATTTTCACCCGGGTCAAATCTCATGCACGTGTATATCACGAAGGTATGCAATACAATTTACTCGAATGGGAGGGCGCATGAGCTACTATCTTGTAATCACGTAATAACAGAAATATCAATGGGTTGTACACTTTTTATGGATTGTATCGAAATATTTTTAGTGAAATGGTCAAATTTTATGATCTGAACCGCGCAGTTAATTAGTATAATGATGTAAAGTGGACAAACGTGAGGAGTGGCGGGAAAAATCGAATTTAGTTGGTTTGGTAGGGGGCGCTGTAAGCGGAAGTGACGTAAGGTATCAGCGGCGAAAAGTGGAATGAGTAGACGGACGGTCGGACGGCAACCTCAGATTATCTTCCTTTTTGAGTTGCTCGTCACACGGTGCAGTCTCCCGTTAAGTTAAGTTGTTAAAGTTGAAGTGTTCCTTATACTTTAAGGTTTTATTTGTCAACTGTTGCATTTAATTTATTCCATGTAAGTACTAACACGTATTTAATCATTAATTTAGTTTTATTTCACGTATTTTTCGAGAAATTGCCAAAAATCTGACCGAACCACGTGTACAGTGCTCTCAGATACAATGGCCGCCATATGTTGGAATCAAATTTCAGCTTAATTATTACTGCAATTACTCTATTTAACTGAAATATTCCGACTACGGTTAATTTATTTTTGCCCAAAATTGTATTTTTTCAAAAATTTGCACGTGTTTGCAGGGTAGTAGACTTTCATTCCGGTGCCGACAATGAGTAATCCTAAGTGCATGGCTTGCTAATTTCCACCTGTTGTTTGAAACGCAGCGCTTAATCCCGATGCGAACGGGCTTTGCCATATTTTAATTCAGTTTTTTTTCTCTATTTTTACAGATAACTCAAAATGGGTAAAGAAAAGATTCACATTAACATCGTAGTAATCGGTCACGTAGATTCAGGTAAATCTACAACGACTGGGCATTTGATCTACAAATGCGGTGGTATCGATAAACGTACCATTGAAAAATTCGAAAAAGAAGCTCAAGAAATGGGTAAAGGCTCCTTCAAATACGCATGGGTATTGGACAAACTGAAGGCCGAGAGAGAACGTGGTATCACCATCGATATTGCTCTATGGAAGTTTGAGACCGCAAAATACTATGTGACTATTATTGATGCCCCTGGCCACAGAGATTTCATCAAGAACATGATCACTGGCACATCGCAGGCTGATTGTGCTGTGCTTATTGTGGCTGCAGGTACTGGTGAATTTGAAGCAGGTATCTCCAAGAATGGTCAAACTCGTGAACATGCTCTGCTTGCTTTCACTCTTGGAGTGAAGCAGCTTATTGTAGGAGTCAACAAGATGGACTCTACTGAGCCCCCATATGGTGAAGCTCGTTTTGAGGAAATCAAAAAAGAAGTATCCTCATACATCAAGAAGATTGGTTACAACCCAGCTGCTGTTGCCTTTGTACCCATCTCTGGATGGCATGGAGACAACATGTTGGAGCCATCCACTAAGATGCCATGGTTCAAGGGATGGGCCATTGAACGCAAAGAAGGAAAAGCTGAAGGCAAGACCCTCATTGAAGCTCTTGATGCCATCCTTCCTCCTTCCAGGCCCACTGAAAAGCCCCTCAGACTTCCACTTCAGGTAAAAAACACTTCCACCACAGCTCATCATTCTTACATCTTTTTTAATATGTCTTTGACATGTCTTAAGGTACATCTCATTTTTGTAGCTTGTTCTGTATAATTTTGATTGGTTAATTGCAGTCCTTATCAGGTACTCTAGATAAAGGTGTTGTTTCAATAAATAAACCTTAAAACAACTTTTATCTTCACTTCAATTTTTTCAATCACAACTGCAGAATGCTCAATATGATGATCTGAAGCAATGATTTCCTATGATTATTTTTTCTTGGCTTAATCTTTTCTGAGACAAGTCTCCTGTTTTTGAGTGAATCTTATTTATATTTATTTTTTTAAATGCTTTGTTTTTTACAGGATGTCTACAAGATTGGAGGTATTGGAACAGTACCTGTTGGTCGTGTAGAAACTGGTGTCCTAAAACCTGGTATGGTTGTGGTCTTTGCCCCAGCGAACATCACCACTGAAGTAAAGTCTGTTGAAATGCACCATGAAGCTCTGCAGGAGGCTGTGCCTGGAGACAATGTAGGTTTCAATGTCAAGAACGTCTCTGTAAAGGAATTGCGTCGTGGTTATGTAGCTGGAGATTCTAAAAGCAACCCACCTAAAGGAGCTGCTGACTTCACAGCCCAGGTTATTGTCCTCAACCATCCTGGACAGATCTCAAATGGATACACCCCTGTGCTCGATTGTCATACTGCCCACATTGCTTGCAAATTCGCAGAAATCAAGGAAAAGGTGAGACTTTGCATAGAAAATATTGAACCATGGTTGAATTTTAATCCCATAAAAATGTTATTTGTATGGAAACATGTTTTCCTTTCTTTTATATTTGTTGTCCTTTCCAATACTGAATGCATAGTCCAAATTCATTGTATCTATGGATTAATTTTTATCTGTTTAGGATATTATTGCATAGGATTCTTAGGTTATGCATTTCCTATTTTAACATCTAATAGATTTGTGCTCTATTTGCCTACAAAAATGTTTGTCTACTTAAAAGCCTCTTGATCATGGAGGATATCTAGAAATGATTTTGTCTGTAGATGTTTCATTGTTATTCTTTTTTTTTGCAGGTTGACCGTCGTTCTGGTAAGACCACTGAAGAGAACCCTAAGGCAATCAAGTCTGGTGATGCTGCCATAGTAAACCTTGTTCCAACCAAACCCATGTGTGTTGAGGCTTTCCAGGAGTTCCCTCCTCTAGGACGTTTTGCTGTCCGTGACATGAGGCAGACTGTTGCTGTAGGTGTCATCAAGTCAGTCAACTTCAAGGATGCTACTTCTGGCAAAGTCACAAAAGCAGCTGAAAAGGCACAGAAGAAGAAGTAGCCTTTCTGAAACTCCATAATTATAGCTATAACTTTTGATACAATAATAATAAATATTTTTCCATAATAAACTGGAGTTCAAAAAATTTTATTTTTTGACTTTAGTGATCTGTAAAATTTTTCGTTATGATATGATATGAACACTTATAATAAAAACGATTTCGTAAGTTTTTGTTTAATTAAGAAGCCTTAATTTCAATTACCAATATTTGAACCTTTGCACAAAGAAAAAATAATGGAGTGCAGAATCGAATCTACTTGAATTATTTTTTCAGTACTTTGAATTTTGTGGACTTAAACAACGAAGGTCCTATACTTTGTAGTTGATTGAGAATATTTTTGATCTATTCCAAAAGTATAAAGGGGTCATATTTGGCTTAATTGTAAGAACGCCTAAATGCAGGCTGGTAGTTTTCAAAGATTTTGCATCTTTTTATTTTCTTTCCCCTGATCCAACATTTTTCTTTTGTGTAAAACAAATAAACATCGCGTTATCTTTGTCTCAATTTCTATATTATAGCCACATGACCATGCAGAGAAATTCTTAAGCGAAACAAGTGGATGAGAATTGTAAAAATTAATGGTGGCATTGTTTGTCAAGAAATGGTACTTGATTCAAAAATTTTAGCATCCTGTATGTCAATATTTAAAACATTCAAGATACATTCATATGAAGTTTAACCTGAGGATCATTGGGATATTTCATCATACAAAGGGTACAATTAAAGTTTTGCAATCCAGCTTTATTGACTAAGTAATTTCTACCACATTCAATACACTTTTCCATTCGCCAAAACCAGCTCTGCTAAGTTTCACCCGGGAGTGCGGCACACTCGTCCCAAGCCCTCGGAAGGTCCGCATCGCTAGAAGACCGTTTTACTTTCAGCTTCATTTTCACATGTGGATACAGTGCAAAGTCACGGGAGTAATATCTGGACTGTAAGGAGGGTGCTCAATAAGTTTCAGCCCATTAGTGGTCAAATTGCAGGCTTTGGCGCGCTGAGCTAGAGCGTTATCATGGTGGAGGTACCAAGTGTCCATTCTTGACTTTGGCCGCAGGTTTTTAGACAGGCACTGTTCCGTGGACCACTTAGCTGTGACTGTCTTCTGTGTGCCCGGCGCGATTTGAAAAATACAGCTATCATTTTTTTCTTAACAGGTCGGGATTTTCTGACAGTTACGGGTGTGTCCTCATCATCAAAGACCCAAACGTTTTTTTTTGAGTCTTGGTCGGCACATCGTAATAACAGAGCCAAGTCTCGTCACCTGTCACGATGCTGTTCGAGTTCACATAGTCTTCCGTCAGACTATGCGGTACTCCGAAAAAACAAACTTTCCTTAAGTGTAAATGGTCATGCAGAATTGAATGAGTTGCTGGTGCATCAAGGTGTAAGGTCTCCTCTATCTGATGGTATGTCACTCACCGGTCGTCGTCAAGCATTTTTCTTCAAGCGTACAAGGCGCGTCCGTCCGGTCAATCCTGTTACGAGTTATAACACTGACAGGAGGCAGTCACGAACACTGCGTTCCATTTTAGGAAGATCAATTGTAGGAGGAACATGTATTTCGATAGTCCGTCTTCAGAAGATGAAGCATTGCTTTTGTGGAGTTTCGAAGAGTCTAATAAGAAAAAGAGATACTGGGTGCGTCCGATTAACTGTGAGAGATGAAACAAAAGAAATTAGGGCTCTTTTTTCTGCATTGCTTGAAGATGAAGAAAGCTTTTTTATTTACAGTAGAACCCCGATTATCCGAATCGCGATTATCCTAAATCCGCTTTATCCGAAACATCGCATACAACAATTTCTCTGTTTTAACCGACGTTGTTCGGGAAATCGGCGAAGGATCTGAAATAGCCGCCGGTAGTTCCCCTTTCGGAGTTTGCGTCATTAGATTTGCTGGCGGTGATTCCCCAAGCGCGTTTGCGGAATTTAATGGTATGTGTGCGTGTATTAGTGGTGTTGATTCTCGTTACTTTCGAGTACTCGTTACTAATCGTTACTCTTCTACAAAGTAATCATCTATTGTATTCGTTACTTTCATTACTATGAGTAGTATGAGTATAACGATTTAGTAACGTCCGTCGTGTTCAATGGAACCGAATCTTGTAAGAAAATAGACAACCTTAAAATTTGCAAAATGTTTTAAGCATAGTTTTTTCAAATCTGTCGTGTTTAATGCTAACATCGTATCTTCAAGCTTTATGCTTATCGAGATGGGTTATTATAGGATAGAGTGTCATGTAACTGATATGAGCCTACAAACTGGAAATATTTTGTATTTACTAGAAATGCTTAAAAAGCATGTCTTTTAGCCAGAAAGATGATCTGTATATGGGCTTAAGGAAATTCGGAATGGCGAGTAACTTTTCGAAGCATTTCAATTAAGCATATACCAGTATAAAAAATTCTACATGGAGCTTAGTCTACTATTGGTGGTTATACTGAATTATAATTTTTTGGCAAAACAGTACAAGTAAAGATGAATCAAATTGACATAACTTTTATTATTGTCGTTTTCCTGAACGGTGCTGTTACCTTGTCGCTTTTCTGCCTCAAAATACTTCCGAACTTTGCTCCAATCCAATCGACTCCTTATTCCTTTTCAGGTTGCCAAGATCACAACAATAAAAGCGAATTTGAGTCACGGTGTAAATAGGTAAACTTAATTTTTTTGATTGGCGGACATAGAATTTGGTAATTGTTTTTAAAACTGGAATTTTCAGGTTTCCACCCGAATGAGGGATGCCTGGCGACCCTGATGAATGAGCGGCAGTACTACAGTGAAACCAGTGTTGCCACTCAACGATCAACGATTGTACGGGTACCGGGAACGGATACGGAAAACAGAGTAATCATTTCTTGATCGGATTGGTACTTGTTACTTCGGGTATCTATGAGTAACGAATATAGTTACTTTTTCAACACCACTAGGGTGTATGTTTGTTTCAATCAGGTTCAAAATCGCTCAGATGGAGCAGCAGCAAGAAATAAACGTAAACGCGTTGTTGTAACTTGAGGCAATCAGACGCTTAGATAGAGGTGATTTGCTTGAAACGTGGCAAGTGATTTGGGTGTGGGCGTGAGTACCATTTCAGAATGGAAAAAACAACGCAAGAAAATTGAAAAGTGGTCTAGGATTCTGACATCATCGCAGCCGTCACGGAAAACTATGAAAAAGGGGGAATATCAAAAAGTGTATGATGCTTTATATCTGTGGTTTACACAGAATCGAGAACGTGGAATACCAATTTCCGGACCAATTCTAAAGCAAAAGGCAGTCAACTTATTAAGTGAAGAATTGCCAGTTATTGAGGCGCCTGATAACCTTACAGCTAGTGATGGTTGGCTGCATAGATGGAAAAACGACACGGTATACAAGAACTAAAAGTTTGCGGAGAAAAGTTATGTGCCGATAAGTCCGCTGCATTACATTTTAAAGAATTAATGAAGCAGTATGGCTTAAATCCTGAACAAATTCACAACTGCGACGAAACGGGCCTAAACTATAAAAGTATACAGGGTGACTTCGAAGTTGAGTCATTTATTTTAACAGTGAGTAGATCTGATCAAAAGAAATGTTTTTTTCCTTTACCATTTTTCTGGTAAAATTAAAGTAACAAAGTTATAGCCCTTTGGAAGTTTGAGTACCGCCCTGTCTCAATAATAATATCATGTGCTCGTGTTTGGCAACAACGGATATAATCCGAAACGATGTTTTTACAATTGTTTTATTCAGTTCAGTTATACATACAGTCAGTGTCGTCAGTCGGTAACGCGTGTGAATAGTGTCTGTTGCGTGGCTCAAACGAAATAAAAAATGGCACATGTTTATGCGGATCGGTTTCCCAATCGAGTGCAACCAACCCCTCGTGCCTTTGTTAATGTAGTACAACGGGCTCGTGAATCAGGTGACTTAAGACCTCACAGGGGACCTCACGATCAAATACAGGTCCGCACTGAAATACTTGTCAGGAGGATACTTTATAAAACAAGGTAAAAAATTTTTTTTATTTTTTTTTTATTTTTACACACATATTTTGGTTTATCTTCCTTCTACAATCATTATCTGAAAATTAATGACTCAACTTCAAAGTCACCCTGTATAAACGCAGTAAAGAACGTGTGACTATAATTGCTTGTAGCAATCCTTCCGGTACACACAGACTTCCTTTGTTGTTAATCGGAAAATCAGCTAAACCAAGAGCATTTAAACACGTCCGCCCCAACGCTCTTCCAGTGTGGTATGAAAATAAAAAAAATGCCTGGATGGATGCCGCTCTATTTAAGGACTGATTTTACAATCATTTTGTTCCCAAGACAGAACGATATTTGAATGAATGCGGATATCCGAGAAAATGTATTTTGATATTAAACAATGCTCCGAGCCGTCCAAGTGAGGAGCAACTTGACAGTGGAGAAATACGAGTGATGTTTTTGCCTCCTAATGTAACGTCACTGATTCAGCCAATGGATCAAGGAGTTTTAGAAAATTTAAAACGCAATTACAGACGTTTGTTATTGGATCAAATTTTAGATCAAGTTGATAATGGTTGTAAACTCGTTGATCGTTCAAAAGAGATTAACCTCAAGAATGTGGCATATTGGATAGCAGAAGCATGGAGCCAAGTGAAAAAATCCACTTTAAAAAACCTTGGTCGTCAATAATTAAGCAAGAAATGGAACCTTGCGTAGACTACGCGATTAACAACGAAAATTTAGATGAGCTCGTCGTAACAATAGCAGTGTGAAAATCTTACCCAGGCAGATGTTGGTGAGTGGATTAATGGTGATGAATTGGTATAAGAATTAAGTGATACAGAACTAATAAAAACTGTTTGTAGCAATGGCGATGAAAGTTTTAAGTGATCCTAGTGACAATGAGACAGGAATCTGCCAAAATATCACATTCTGAGGGATTAGAAGCATTACAAAAGACGTTGACGCCGAACAACAAGAAAATGCGACAGCAGCTGATCTGCTACTCATCAAACGTTGGAGGGATATTGCTGCCAAAAATAGGAACAATGCAAAATGTGTACAGCTAAAAATTACTTCCTTTGTTACTAAATACTCGTAAATATGTACGTTTATATTTTACGTAACTTCATATAGGTATATACTCTCTCAACACACGCATTTTCTTTTTTTAATCAGAGCATTCTGAGC